ATGCAATAGCATACAGCATGAACATTGTAGTCCAAGTCACAAATTATACTTTTAAAAGTTATTTTAAGTGAAACAAAGCTCAAACATTGCAATCCATTTCACGAGTAAATAAGTAGCTGCTTTGAGCCTGTCCATCCATATAATGCTCATCATTCTTTAAAAAGATCATTAATAAACCCCATTCAAAAGTCTCAATATCTATACTATTTAATGTGTTTTCAGCAATTTAGCATATTACAATGTTATATTTTTTTTATACAAGAAATGCAAATGCAAGAAACTAAAGTTATCATATGCAAGCAAAATCAATATTTTAACAGAATGTTTTCTAAATTAATCCCTTTAATTATAATTATAATTATAATTGAAATCATTAAACCTCTTTATTACCGTTCAGTAGAACCATATGACAGGTAGGAAGTCAGAAGACAGAAGGAATGCTTATAAAAATGCTACTCACCCACTCCTTGCTCTGTCAGGATCTGTTCAATTGCTTTTATTTTCTTCTGACCAACTGAGCTGGGCAGCTTCATCTATGCACACAAATTCATTAGTTAACAAAATCTACAAATAAACTTTCAGTAAACTTAAATTGTGCTTGTGTACTTGTGTCTTAATCCACGAGGTGTTGGAACTCTAGCTGGAACATTAACACCTTTAATCTCAGATGGCTACATGGTAGTAAAACATGGGAGCAATGGAATAAAAATGGGGTCATCCTTCATTCATAATACCCCTGAAATGCACTTCAGAGAGGGCAGATCAAAACATGTTTATCCACCCAAGTCTGACTAACAGATGACCAGCCATATCTGAGTCATACACTACCCCAGTACCATCCTTAATGTGTTTTATATAGAGCGACCTCCCTTCATTACTCTTTAAGAGGAATGCCTTCCTGTGCGTAGATTACTCTACCTATGACTGTGTGAATCAATCAACTCCTGGCTAATGAGAGAGAAGTTAAACGCCACAGGCCCCTGCAGCGAAGAGGGATGTATCATAATATTCTGCATAGATCGTATATTAAGAAACGGATCAGGGGTCAGTTTTGTCGAAGCGTGTAAGTTGATCTTACTCTCTGACTCCGTAGTGAAACACCAGCAGATTTGAAGTCTGGGAATCTGATGCCTGCGGTTTCAGGAACAGCCTGCCATTGGACAGATGAGAGGGCATTAGAGGAGCAAGTGCTAGAAAGTATTAAAGTTCACAGATTTTTTTTTCTTCACATTTTGCAAAGAAAGTGTAAAATTAGAATGATCGCTATTGAAAATACAATTTGTTTCCCCATCAATTTTCTAATTACTAATCACAGACAGGTTAAAAATTGAATTTAGACAGTTTGAGGTGTAAATAAAGAGATAATTACAGGTTTTTCCGTCTCTCGTTTCTGCGGCAGCTTCTTCTTGGTGGCTTTACGTTCAGCTCTGCGCATCTCTGTCGTCGTGTCAGCTGCTGTAATGAGCTTCTGCAGGTCCTGGGCCTTCTTTTCACGCTCCTTCTTACGCGTCTCAATCTTCCTCAGCTCCTGGATCAGGTATTCCTCCTCTGCCACCTACAGGAAGGAAAAGGAAGCACATTGTTTAAATGAGATCAAGCTTGTCCCCATCAGACATAACGAACTTACAACAGTATCTCCACTGTGTCCCATTAATTACCAGCATTATTTACAGAAACTGCAGTTTTCCACCAAAATAAATGCAAAATAAAGAAATTGTCAAGCGAAGACCATTTTCCTGCTGAAAAGTAAAATACATTTTTTATTTACAGTTATTTTACAATACAGTTGTATTACAATACTAATATATTTGTGTTAAGGGATGATAATAATAATACCAACATTATTATAATCTAATCGACACTGAAAATTGGTGGGAGCTCACAAAGTGCACCAGACTGGCGGATTTAAATTTAAAATGCATAAATGTTTCTTCCACCCCCCATAGTCTCACAACATCCTGTGTAAAAACACTGCATCACTGTTGCAATAATTGTTATGTAGAATGAAAAAGATCAGTCTTGGTCTCACCTGCTCTGGAGTGCGGTTGAAAAGTCTCTCGAGCTGCTCTTTCCTGCGTCTCTCATGACCAGCATCAAATATGTAGATCTTAGTTTCTGTCCCTGTTCCTGCCCGAACTTTTGCCAGTTTGCCACAAATGCTGTAATAACGCTCCTTAAGATCCTCCACAGAGCGCTTCTACAATAATATCAATGAAATCAGAGAAAAAAATGTGATTAGAAGGAAGTAAACTGTAACATAGAGTCAAGTTACTTTATGTTCAGTACAATACTGAATCATGATGAGGAACTTACTCTATACTGCTGGTGATCATAGCGATCATGGATAACAATAAACCGCAGGTCGAAACGTTTGCACAAGTCGAACAGGTGATCCGTTTCAGCTTTCGTCCATCCATCGTCATGAAGATACATCTGATACTCCTGCTCTGAGTACGCAGGCACCTGCACAGTCTTGAAACAGGAATAATATTTTTAGTAACATGCGATTACATGAATTTCAATTTCAAACAAGAATAATACACAATCTCTTCTCTCCTCGACCGATGCCATTTTTTCTTTTCTCCTACTCTGTTCAGTATGACCCTCTCTTTCCTACCTTGTTGAAGCGAGCAAATGGGTAGTCCTTTCCTTCCTCTGCTGCACGTCTCCAGTGATGGAAGATGGCTCCATCTTTTCTGGCTGGATTGGAAAAGGGCATCCACTTCCAGGGCCGCACCTTCTTACAGCCCAGTTTTGCTTTCACTGTCCGGTAGCCTTGCGTAGTATCACTCGGTAACAGGGGAGAGGCATCCCGACTGAAAGAAGCAAAAGCATACAAAAGTTAATTATATGCTGTCACTTTTCAGTGTAACAGTATCAGCGTCCAAAGGCAGCATACAGGGCTCAACAATAAAAGTTTTTTGTTTATGCTGGATTGGTCAAACCAATAGCTCAAATTTTTACGTCCGCCTGCCAATATTTTAACTAGTCCTACAACAAAACACAATATAGCCTAAATTATTTTTAGCAAGATATTTTTATGTGCAGGTCAAGATGTGTGTGTATATATATATACACACACACATACACACACACTATTGTTCAAAACTTTGGGGTCAGAAAGTATTTTTTGAACAAATTAATATTTTTATACAGCAAGGATGCATTAAATTGGTCAAATGTGACAGTAAATACATTTATAATGTTACAAAAAAATGTCTATTTCAAATGAATGCTGTTCTTTTGAACCTTTTACTCAAAGAATCCTGAAAAAAAATAAATAAGAAATGTATCCTGAGCACCAAATCATCATATTAGAACGATTTATAATGGATCATGTGAAACTGAAGACTGAAGTAATGGCTGCTGAAAATTCAGCTTTGTGATCACAGTAATAATTACATTTTAAGTTATATTAAAATTGAAACAAAAAAAAAGTTACTTTAAATTATGATAATATTTCACAATATTACTGTCTGTAATGTATTTCTGATCAAACAAATGCAGCCTTGGCAAGCATAAGAGTATAACAAGCATAACTTTTGAATAGTAGTGTATATTAAGTGTATATGTATGTTACAAAAAATATATTTATTAGATTTTTCATTTACAAGAGCTGGGAATTATACAGCTATAATAAAATCTCATGAGAGCTATGTACTCATACAACCCTATTTGCTGTACAGCTAATACAACAAAACGTTACTCTTTTTTTCTAGTCATTTTACTAATTTCAAAGAATGATCAATTCAAACAGCAAAATGATCTGCCATTAGTCATGGGAATCAGTTTTTAGAAGGCAATGCAAATACGTAACAATAATATGGGCAATAAGGCAGTGAGGTAAAAAGGCTGAGCAGAGAAAGCCAGCTTACTTTTTGTCTGAATACAGCAAGGCATAAACTTCTCTGTGCATTCCTTCTGGTCTCTTGAAAGTTAATGTCTCTGTCACTTTCTTGGCTTTTTTCTACAACAACAAACAGAATGAACATTGTCTCAATAATACAAAGCCAAAACGTGTCACAAATGTAAATCCCATTTTAAAGCTCCATCTACAGTCAAAAGTGCAGTGGTGTTGGCTCTCCTCTGTGCCAGGTTACCTTGTCTGAGTTGATGATGTCCTTCTTGCTGATGAGACCTGAATCGTCTCCTCCTGCCAGCTCCAGAATATCCCTCACATCAGCACCGGTCGCCATGGTGAGGGACTAATAGTTTAGACAAAATGATAAGCAAAGAGGTGCACTATAATATACATATACAATGTACAGTTATATGAACTGTTTGCTGAACTACATCTGACAGTCGTTACCCCCTAACAAAGAAAATACATCAGTGTTAAAGGTTCAGATTTGTCTGCTGGGTCTGTTTGAGGAAGTAGAAGATAAAGACATAAACCATAGCTAATAAACGAAGCGCGAATGAACTCGAATCTCGGAATCAATGGGCTTACATGCTACCTGACAGGCGGGAACCGTATTGAGCGTATATAGTATTTCTAGAACTGCATTTATGAACTGTAATGGTATTAAAAGTAACGTTTGATCTTACCTGACAAAAATACGGGTAGCCTGTGTATCTAAAATATACGCTAGTCTATTTACGGGACAGTGATAGCTGAAATGCTATATTCAACGGCGGATGCACATCTCCTCTTCGATGGTCAGCTCCTCTGTGCGTCTTGACACACTCGTGCAAACGTTCGCCACCTATCGGACAAAAGGAAGAAGTGCATCTACAATACTGTCCTCAACCAGAGTTCATAAAATGCCTTACTTTGGGGGTTGTGTCATTTGTCACTGCATAGATTCAAACAAACAAAACAACAAGTTTTACTGTGTAATAATACATTTATTGTTAAGTGCATGGCAATTTGCAGACAAAAAGCATACATGCATTGTGTGAAACTATTATCATCACAGCAGAGAGGCAACAGTAACCCTTAAATTGACCTTACCACGCTAATAAAATCTACAATCCAAAACCAATAAAATCCATATACATTAAGTAAAATTCAAAATCAATCAAATCCTTATACATTAAGTAAAATTAGCATTAAAATGAGAAAAATATAATTGATGAATAAAATACTGCATTTAACCACATCATGTAAATCATACTATAAAATTGTCCCTGATAGAGCAGTGCCAAAAATGCAAGTAATATAATGCAGTGATAACCTGTTCAATAGTGATAACAGTGAAAAGTGATAACCTGTTCTACATCTTACATTCACTAGATATAGATATGCATACCAAAAGCCCTATTACCACTGATCTATATAAATGACATTTATTTACACTACTGTAAAACAGTGTTTATGTAAGTAATGTCATTTTTGAAAGATTACAAAGCAATAACTGAAGCCATGTCGTGCAGATTGCCTGATTACATGTGTTGAAAAATGTTATATCTAAAGAAATATAATTGATTATCATTACAGCTAAAGCTTTTCATCATAATCTTTCCTTGTGGGAGAAAAACTACAAAAAGCATTTCACAGTTTCACACAACACTTTCAGCCTCCAAATATGTTCTGTCCCTTGAATTATGGGAAGGGCAGATTAATTTTTGTGCGGATGTGGTCTCGCTTCACAGTTTCACACAACATTTTCAGCCTCCAAATATGTTCTGTCCCTTGAATTATGGGAAGGGCAGATTAATTTTTGTGCGGATGTGGTCTCGCTTGACCTCTCGTTCCCTGAGATAGGCCTGCAGCTTGTCTGTTGAATAGCAGACCACAGAGTCAGTGTGTTTGGAGGGAGGACGGTCTCCTTGTATCCAGGGGTTTTGGAGGCACTCTGCAGCTGTAGGTCTTGCCCTGGTAAAACATGAAGCCACATCAAATACTGCCTATGTCCACATAGTAACTGATTCAGTCACACATTAAGTTTAGAAGCAGGATACATTTAACTATTGGTTTTGGGTCTACTGATGGAAAGTCATGATATTAGTTTTGATTAGTTTTCTGCCATTAAAGCATCATCCGACTACGATGACATGAAATCTCACTGTCTGTTGTTTGGATTTAAACACTCAAAATAAGCAAACATCATCTGTGAATTTTACCAGGCTTTGTTGCTCAGGGTGTTCTTCATAAAGTTGATGGCTCCCTCTGAGAGACCTGGGTAACAACGATTAAACTGGATCTTGCCTTTTTTGATGTTTCGATCCCTCTCCCAAGTTATATCAGCATGGAAGGGACTGTCTGCACTCAACCTAAAGATGAAAATTAAAGAAAATTTGAGTTAATCAATGAATTATGGTTGAACGATAGGGAAGCCCTAATGTTGCTGTAACTATTCCTTATGGTTATGGATTTACTGAATGAAAGGACTTACATTATAAAAGCCAAAACGCCAACAGCCCAGATATCAGTTTCAGGTCCAACTCCTTGTCCTTCTAAGATTTCAGGAGCTTTAGGAAGGACAATATAACCTAACAAACAGAACAGAAAATATTTTTCATAAACAAAACTGGTTTGTTGGTGATAAGATACTGGATACTTTTTTTTTTTTTTAAGATGCCAGGCAGCCCCGAAAATGAAAGTAGTTCCATGTACATTTACCATTCAACAGTTTGAGATCAGTAAGATTTTTTTTTAAAGAAATTAATACTTTTATTTAGCAAGGATGCATTAAAATTGACCAAAAGTAATAGTAAAAATGTAAAAATTAGCAGCACAACTGTTTTCAACATAATACAAAAAAATGCCATCACAAGAATAAATTACATTTTAAAATAGATTAAAACTGTTATTTTAATGCTATTTAATAATAATTAAATAAGATGTCACAATATTACTGCTTTTGAACGTATTTTTTATCAAATAAATGCAAGTTTGGTATGCATTTCAAAACAATAAACAATTCGACTAAACTGACTGACCCCAAACGTTGCAACAGTAATCTATAATGACTGAATAAAAACACAGCAACAAATTCTAGATCATAATACAGTATCATTGATATACCTTTATTATCTGTCATTTCTTTGATGTGTTCAATGTTTAGTGCCTGTCCTGGAGTGAAGGGCTGAGCAGAGCCCAAATCCACAATCTTCACTACATTTCGGCCCGTCACAAGCATGTTGTCCGACTTTAAATCCAGGTGTACAATGCGTCTGCTGTGCAGGTAATCCACAGCACTCAGAATCTGTTCTAGTAGGTCAGTCACCTGTGTTTCTGAATATAGATTCCTGTAGGCCATCAAGAGTAAAGAGTAAGGTAACTGTACAACACTGACTGTTAAAGAGAATGATTTTCACTAGTATCAGTCAATATATAATTTGTAATTTATAGGACTACATAATTGAACAGAACCCTTTAAACAGTATTACTCTCACCTTTCTGCAAGGTTATAAAGAAGCTCTCGTCCTGAGCATAGCTCCTCTATAAGCACCAGGAAGCTGGGAGTGAGGATGGCCGTCTGCAGCTGGACGATTCGAGGGTGGTTCAGTCGGCGAAGCAGTTGATATTCCCTTAAAACCAACTGCCTCTGCTCTGGTCTGTAAAGTGTCATCTTAGCGGCTAACATCTGAGAGCTGCGGCTATCCTCACACTGCATTACCACACTGAAACGGCCTCTGTCAAAAGAGACACAAGATTATGCATTTAAATGAGCAACATAAAAACGGAAATAATGGTAATCAGCGTTTTGTGAGTCAACAATTCTGCTTTCATTTCATATTTATATGGATTCATTAAAGCTATGTAGAGCTTAAATACTAAAGTATTAGAGTTTAAATACTATAAAGGCTGGTTCATACTGTCCCAACAAACACCAGCAGGGTTAAAAACACACTCATCCAACAAAACCCAAATACTATTTTTTTGTGTTTGTTGTGGCAGTGTGAACTAGCCCATAAAATTGAGTTTACATAACTTATTAAAGAGGTATAAATATTCAAAATACACACACACACACACATATATATACACACACGTGTATGTATGTCTATATATATCCTGTTGATTTCAGACAGGAAGCTGTAAGATTTCTCAGTGCCAAGACCTCCAGGTACAGTGACCTTTGACCCAATAGATTCCATTTTAATGAGAGGATTGTGAGAGTCTGCAAAAATATATGAATATATAATAAATTACAATAAATTCACTTTCTTTAAATTTCCTTGAAGTAAACTCCTTTATATGACCATATTCTGAGAATATTCCATTTATTTTATGAAAGGAGATGATTGCATTATATTTAAAGTTAATAGGGTGTACATATTTAAAGATGTAGGGTGAGGTAATACATTTTAAGTAGTTTTGGATAAAAATAAGTAATATTTCCAGCAAGTCTCTACCTTCATAAGGTGTGGCCATAAAGGCTGGTGGTGAAGGGTCACTAAAAGGTGCCAACCCTGTCTTGGTGTTATGGGACACTCTGAACATATATCCCGGTCCTCTCGGAAGGGCATTTACTGTAAAACAGCTGTCTGTAACATTCTCTGCCAACATTCTCCACTCCACACCTAATATAAAGGACAAAACTTTCTTTATGAAGCACCATGGAAAAACACAATGAAAAACAATGCTCATAATACAGGATGTACAGTGGGTACGGAAAGTATTCAGACCCCCTTAAATGTATGTATTCTTACCATTTACACTATACTGAATACAATATGTGACAAGTTCTTTTGATGGCACAAGTTTCCAGAACACAAGCACTCCTCCTCCTGCTAGCTGAATGACATCTGGCCTGGATGGTTTGACTGGACTTTCTGGTTAAAAATCAGAAAACAATTTCATAACTTTGTGAATCCTGTGACACTGAAGTCTGGAGTAATGATGCTGAAAATTCAGCTTTACTATCACAGGAATAAATTACATAAACGCAGCCTTGGTGAGCATAAAAAACTTATTTCAAAAACCTTAAAAAAATCATACAGACCCCAAACATTTGAACGGTAGTGTATCTATAAAAAGCAATTATATGGAACAGTTTAATGACTTTTTAGTTGTTTAACCTTTGGTTTTCTTAAATATCGGCACTTTCAGCGAGAACAATTTGGACTTCTTCTGAGGACTTTCGGATGAGGTGGTGGCTATTACTGTGGTCATTTTCTCTGGCGTGACGGGGGAGGAGTTCTTCACAATTGGTCCTGTTAGAAAGAATTTGAGATATAATTATTATGCACAAGCAAATGTATTTTTGAAAAGTGAATAGTGTATTTTCAACTGTGTTAAAGCAACAACAGTAGCCTACCGCCTTTCTTCTTCTCTTCATCCTCTTTGCTGGATTGTCGGGTAAACAGTTTTGTAATGCTAGAGGCTGAAGCTCGCATCTTCTTCCTCAGAGTTAGAAGAGGGGTCTTGGGTTGTGAGGATGCTCCTTCTGTTTGTTTCTTTTCCGAGCCTTCTAGTTGAGGAGAAGAATGGCTAGCCCACGAATGTTTACGGAAGATCTTCATGAATCCAGGCTTGGAAGATTTCCCACTAGGGGGTTTGGCTTGAAGAGCCGGGGCTGAGGCATGTCTTTGAAGTAACTCTTTACTTTCTCGTCCTGCTACTGCAGCCTGGACAGGAACCGCAGAGGAGCTTCTTCTCAGAAGGACGTCACTCTTATTGCGCATCTCATTTAGTCCAGAGCTTGAACTGTTGGTGCGCCGTCTTGGCGGGGCTTGCGGGAGGTCTTGGCAAAGAGATCTCAGGACCCTCTCCATGTCTTCATCCTCAGAGTCTTGTAGTAAAGAGCATGGAGATGTTTTTCCAGAGGATGCAGCGATCAAGCTCTCATCATGGTGGTGTCTGTGGGAGAGTTCTTCATGTGAGCCTATCCTGCTAGAAGCTTCTGAACTGTGGTCAAGCGAACATGCCAGTGAAAGCTGTGAGCCATCCACGCTCTCCTCATCACCTAAATGTCTTGTCTCTGTTTCCGTGACCTGCAACTGGTTGTCATCCTCACAAGAACTCTGCAAGGCTGGCTGATGTCCTTCTTCAGGCTCATGAACCTGTGCTCTGACCTTTCTCACAATTAATGGGCCTTTCTTTGACAAAAACGCAGAGCGACGGCAAAGTTTCCTTCTCACTTGGACTTCTTCAGTTTTTTCCTCTTCTTCATCAGTGACATCTGGTTTCTGGCTTTCTTCAACATCATGCTCATCCTCTCCTTGCACTGTTGGGTCAGTTGAAGTTGGAGAGCGTTGTGTGTATACATCTAATGACCTGCTTCTTCTCTGGGTGTGTATGCTTGGATGGGCAGCACTCACTCCACTATCAAATGAGCTTGACTTGAGGATAGATGAATGCATTGATCCTCTTCTTTGGTTACGATTAGCTTCTAAGTCTGGGGAATCTTCTACATACTCTATGAGGGGCTCATTTAACCTGCCGGAGAGGCTGGCACGGAGGGGTTTACGGCCACGCTCTTGCTTTTTAGCTTGGATTTTATCCCGAAGCGTCATGTGACGAGCAGACATGGGTGAGAGCTGCTCGGAGCTGCAATAAAAAGTGCTCTTGATGAGGATACGACGTGGTATGGGATCCAATCCTTCGTCTCTCTCAGAGAGGTGAAGATAGGGGCTACTGTCCCTCCTCTCCAAACTGACTGGCTCTGTTGATGGTGTGGACGTGGAAATCACCAGCAGGCCACTGTGAATGCGGTCCTCAGCAATAAGCACATCTTCTTCATCCCGTTTTAAAACTGTGGGCGTCTTTGACACATGAGTGTATGGGTCATATTCTTCCTCTTCTTCCAGATCATCTTCATTCTCCTGGCTCACCTGTTGGAAGAAGTCCCAAGCATCTGCTTCATCAAACTCTGAGGAGGATCCACTACTTAGGGAGGTGCTGCTGAGCTCCTGGGTTTCCCTTGTAGCTGTAATCGAAACGTCACGCAGAGGAGCCTCCAACAACTCTGGGATTGGTCTCAAAGTCAGAACCGAGCCGAGACATGTCAAGGAACGCTGAAAGAAAAGGGAAGAAGCACGGAAAAGACATGAAAGAAGAAAGTTTTCCTGGATAATCAATGGCAAAGGAAGTCATTTAAAATCTTACCTGCCATTTTCTTCTTGAAATAAAAGATTTTAGATTTTTGGTATTTATGCCCTCAGGTTCTTCATCTTCATAATAACCCTAAAAATAATTACATTTCTGATGAACGTCAATTTTAACTTATTTGTGCACACAACTTATTTTATGTTTGCTTGTTGGTATAAACACAGATGACTACCTACCTGAAACCACTCATGACTCAAACACTCAGATGCAGAGGGTCTCACTCTGTGAAGGTGAAACAAAGCAACTTTATCAACTGCTGCTCACAAAAACTTCAATTACATGCAAGTAAGCAGAGCTTACTCTGGGTCTGGCTGTAGAACCCTATGTAGGAAGTCCTGTGCCTCCACACTTCTGTTTGTGATCTCAGGTGTGTACCAGTACAGCACACCCTCAGCGACCTTCATCAGTGTGGAACGGTCATTCTCCCCGAAGAAAGGACAGTGGCATGTTAAGCTACCCAGAAAAAAAGCAATATTCAAGAAAACACTTAATATTTTCTAACAGTACAATTATTTCTAGATTTTATGGCCATACAACATTGCAGCATACAGAGAAAACAAAGAAAAACACAAACATATCTGCTTGCTCCATTTCTTCAATGCACTCACCATAGGTAAGTAACCACACCAAGAGACCTGAATAAATTAATAATGAAAAAATTTACCAAGCAGTAAAAGGACAGAATTGCATTTCTGAATATGAGGAATTCTGTTCACCACAATTTGCAACAAGCCACAGTATTTTGTTTACCAGATATCAGTGGCTACTGTCACAGGTTCTTGGTGGACAATTTCTGGTGCAACAAATTCAGGTGTCCCAAACTTGCTGTACTGGTGTCTGGAGTTGTCAATTTCCTGGCAGAAGCCAAAATCACAGATTTGGATTTCTTCTCTCGCAGGGGACACCATTAGGATATTGTCTGTCTGCAAAGAAGAGGTTTAAAAATAAGTTTGACAAAATGTTAGAATGACAGCCACAGGTCAGAAGATGTCTTTACCAAAGACACCAATTAGTCCAATTTCAGAAAAGGATGGTCTTTCAGTATCCTGTGTGTGAATATTGATGCTTAAATTAATGCCACTTATAATACTAATAATACTGCAATATAACTATAATTCCTACTAATATAAATTAAGTATAATCACTTACTTTGATATCCAGATGTAAGATGTTCATACTATGTATGTATCCAATGCCCTCCAGAACCTGCTGAATATATAACTGGACCTAAAACAATGAATAATAATTATCACATTTTCTTGATTACTGTATAAAATGACATTCAATGATTTCTCAATATTACCTCCCTCTCTGAAACCGATCCCTTTAAAAACAAATGATCTAGTAACCCCTGTGTAGAACATCTGTGGGAGAGGAAAAAATAAATGTATATATTTGATTACATTTTGAAAAAGCTAATGGTAATCATTGAATCATTTCAAAAAGCAAGAAAAAATCAAATCCTACAATTCTACAACCAACACCAGTGTGCGTCTTGTAGCGAAAAAGTCCAAGAGGCATGCTAGTCTGCGGTGAGCTAGACGGGACAGTAGGTCTCTCTCCTGGAACGCTCTGGTCCGTGTGCTGCTTCTGAGTGGAAGGAACTTAGCAGCAAAACATTCACCACTCGCCTTGTGTGTGACTTTTTTAACCACTCCAAAAGTGCCCCTGGTTATCCAGAAAAAAAAAAGAGAAAAATGTTAATAAGGGCTAAAAAGGATGCCTTACAACAAATCAGATATTACATTAACTATGATATTTAATGCTAGATTACATAAACGTCAAGATTTATATGATGATATTACCTCCCTATCTCTTCATGAACATCATATACAGAATGTAATTTCCGTCTTTTTCCAAACTCCACTTCTCTCTCTTCCTCAATGTCATCTGGACCTGAAAAAGAAAAAAATTAATTTACTTAAACACACTATTCCTTGGCAACAGACATTTAAAGTTTGTAAAGATAAAATGGATGGTAATAATAAAGCTTTCCAACTCACCTGTGTCAACACTGAGTTTGCCGAGGCAAGATGCTTGTCCTGCACTGTTAATAGCTATGCAGGTGTAGGTGCCACAATCCTCTATTTGAGTATTTAGCAAAGTGAGAGAGCAACGTGCACTACTTTGAAATATTTCTGTGTAGTCATTGGATAAGATTTCCTTGTCATCCTGCAGGAAACCAAATAAATACATTTCACTGCAGTAAATACAAGTAAAGATCATTGTGTTTCCATCATAACATAAAATCATTGTTACCGTTTTGTATTTATAATACCTTAAACCACTGAATATCTGGGGTGGGCTGGCCAGTAATAATGGCGGAGAATGTTGCAGGCTGACCAGGCCGGACTGTCAGGTCCTCAATGGCAACTTGCACAGCTGGAGGCTCTGAGTAAATAAATAATAGATTGACAAATTCCTCTGGTGATCATTTTTCACACAAGTTGATTATAAACCTCATATAGTCTGTACCTGTCAGAAATTCCTCCTCTGTGTCTGAGTAAAAGTGTTCATCAGGCTCGTCCTGTGCCGCCTGTACTTGCCTCTCCACGTCATCCTGTTTTTTAAGTGTTTGTGTGTCTTCAACACCAGCAGCAGGTCTTCAGTACCACACATTTTGCATTAAATTGATTGACAGACAGTAAAATTAGATAATCAACTGTCCTGAATATCACTGCTTAAAGAACCACACAATACAGCATGTATGCAGTATAATTAAACTATACATAATAAAGACTATGTTTATAGCCCACAGATTACACAGACTGTATGTAAACTCACGGTTCAGGGTTTCCAGGCTGAAAGAGTATATGAAACAGGTTCTTTACAAAGGAACTGGACCAACCTTCTGACTGGGGCTCTATTTGAAAACATTTAGATTGTCAAACTGATAAAAATTATTTAACGTTCAAAAGTTTGAGGTCAATAAGATTTTCCTGTTTTTATAAGAATACTTCTATTCAGCAAGAAGTCTTTTTTTAAAGACATTTAAGACATGTAAAACTTTACAAAAGATTTCTATTTCAAACTAATTCTGTTCTTTTGCACTTTCTATTTATCAAAGAATGGAGTTACAGCTTTGCGATCACAGCAATAAATTGCATCTTAAAATATAGTAAAATTATTATTTCACAATATTGTTTCTACAGTATTTTTGATCAAATAAATGCAGCCTTGGCGAGGATAAGAGACTTCTTTCAAAAACATTTTTAAAAATCTTACCGACCCAAAACTTTTAATGGTAGTGTGTACTGTAAAAGATAAATATAATCTATTAAAAATATATAATATTTATAAAAAATTAGATAAAGCTTTATATAATGCCCTAAGTAAATACTTGAACTAAATAACAACAATAAATAACTGTACTTACATAAATAATGCAAACATAAAAATGTAAAATATTAACAATACTTATTAATTAAATTAAGGTCTGTGGTCATACAATCAGCTTTAAATAAGGGATGAAGTAGAATATTTGGTTTCATTTCCTCTCCTCTCCAAACTCAACTGTAAAATAATATAAACACTTACCCGTATAAGGACAGGTATACAAACAGTGCAAGAAGTGACATAGCCTTTCCCGACCAGTGTTTTAAAGGGGTGGTTGACTGGGTTTTTTCTAGGCTTGATTGTGTTTATGGGGTGCAGTCTAACATGTGTTCATGCTTCGTTTTTTAAAAAACGCATTATTTTTCACATAATGTACCTTTATTCCACACCGATCTGTCCCTTCTCTAACAAACGTTTGATTATTTCCTGTTTTTATAAAGCCCCTCCCTCAGAAATAGGCGATGGGCTGAGATTGGTCAGCTGGCTCAGTGTGTTGTGATTCGCTAAACCGCCTGATTGAGCCTGATTGAGACGCAGAGAATATTAATGAAGAGGATCGCGCAGAACCTGTGCAAGCACTGCCACAGATCACATGTATACAGTCACATTGCCTCACAAGCAGCGCAAAGAGCCACTTGGCCCTATCTGCAGCCAGGCTTGAGTCTTAGCACATAACCAGCTTTGAAGATGGACGTGGCATGTTAGCGGAGCATGCACTGACCGGGAAACCATGAGAACATGTATATAAACAGATATGTGGAACAGACAAGGAGAAGAAAAGAGACAGAAAGAAAGAAAACTGGGAAAGTAGCATGCATGCAAAATGCTGAGGCATCTGTGTGAAGACACTTACATGATGATTTTGATCAGACCTTTAGTCTCCTGCTTTGTGACTATAAAGGAAATGGGATGGAAAGTGTGTTAAACTGGATGTGGAAATGCACATGATTGACAAGTGTTCAAAAGCTGCTTATGAACCACGTAATGTATAAATGAAAACATATAACCACAAAAGGTATATTAAAGAAAATGCATGATATGATACTGTATACTGTACGTATGATATATGAAGTAGCATGCAATTTTATTTAATACCAAATGAATTAAAGACAAATAAAATGAAACCTTACACTACAGTTCCAAAAATTGGGGTCAGTAAGATTTGTTTTTGTTTATTTAATTAATACTTTCATTTAGCAGGGACACATTAAATTGAACTAAAACAACAATAAAGACATTTATAATAAAAGATTTCTATTTCAAATAAATGCCTCAAAACACTCAAAACTTTTAAGTCTTCTCAATTTTAGAATTTTCTATTCATCAAAATATCCTGAAAAAAATCAGCATATTAGAATAATTTCTGAAGGATCATGTGACACTGAAGACTGGAGTAAAGGCTGCTGAAAAATCAGCTTTGCCATCACAGGAATAAATTACATTTTAAAATATATTAAAATAGAAAACAGTTATTTTAAATTGTAATAATATTTCACAACTGTTTTACTGTATTTTTATTTTAAATAAATATAGCCTTGATAAGTATAGCAAAACATTTGTAAAAAACATTAAGGAATTTTACCGACCCCAAACCTTTGAAAGGTATTGTATATGTACATATAAAAAATGTAATATTATAATGTAAGTAAATGTTTCCAATGACATAATGCAATGCAGATGCCTCTATGAAGATGGCCGATGAAGTTTTTGATAATTTGAGTGATCCCATCAAAGGTTTCTTCCAGACCAAGAAGCTCTTGAAAATGGGAAACTGTTGGTGAAATTCAACACTACATAAAAGTACATTTTATCAATACATATGATTTTAATTTGAAAATGGTCTCCAGACTACAGAGCTAGTTGTTAGAGGAGTGGAATGGATATTCAGAAGATCTGGTGTTCCAGTGACAGAACATGAGGAATGGGTGGGAAGTCGGAGTTGGGAGATGATTGTGGTATGTGCTCCTTCAAAGCCTACCGGTGCCCACCAACACATGGTGAGACTTAGTGGCCAAATACACACCTTCTCTGCCTTAAACAGCAATTGCGGTTCACATTCCTCTTCATCCTACCTGGAGTTGGGGTCGTTTGTGATTGCTTTTGGGTCCTGACTGCCACAGGTAATGGTGCTGGAGGGCAGAGTTCAGCTTTACACTTGGCACTGCCCACTTCATTCTGTAGCTGTATCATAAACACAGAGAAAAAGTATATAATGGGATCCATATATGATATAAAGTCATCAAAAAGTAGCAAAAGACTCTGATACCTCACACTGGTATTGACCTAGATCTGCCTCTTCAGCTCTCTTTATAGTGAGAGTGAGAATTCCTGTTTGGACATCAGATTGAATCTGGTGTTTCCTGTTATCCTCAAGCTGAATGCCATCCTTAAACCACCTGTGCATATAGACTGTCTGAGCTTTTTTATGACCATATAAATGCCATTACATTAATATGAGTGAATGGAACCAGTACCTTATTGATGGTAAAGGATCAGATTGTGTGGAGCACCTGAACTGCACATCTTGTCCCTTTACAAGCACTGAGTTCTGTAATCTGGTTGTAAAACTTGGAGGCACTGTGGGAAACAAAAACCTTTTTCTCGATTTTTGCTAACCTATTCTTTACTGTGTCACCTTTAAAACTTCTTACACTATCATTCAAAAGTTTGGGATCAGGAATATTTTTTTATATTTTTGAAAAGTTTCTTATGCTCACCAAGGTTGCTGGATCAAAAATACAGGAAATAAGTAATATTGTGAAATATTATTACAATTTCAAATAACTGTTTTCTATTTTAATACATTTTAAAATGTAAATTATTCCTGTGATGACAATGCTTAATTTCCAGCAGCCTTTACTCCAGTCTTCAGTGTCACATGATCCTATAGAAATAATTCTAATATACTTTTTCGATGCACAAGTAATTTTTCTAATGATCAGTTTTGCAAATATGTGCTGCCTAATATTTTAAGGATTAAATGATGAAAAGAAGTTTTTGATCAACATACGTAATACATCCTTCCTGAATAAAACTATGTAAAAAAAATCTTACTGACCCCAATTTTTGAACAGTAGTGTAAATGCAAGACATGTGTTTGGAAATAAATACAAACATTATAACAGATGGCCATAATAACAATTTCTCAAAAACTTACCATCAATCATGATATTAGCCAGAGTGCTTGCATTCCCTGCATGATTGGTTGCATAACACATGTATTGACCAGAGTCCGCCTCTATGACACAAGTCAGTACAAGATAACAAGCACCTAACTGTCCTTCTGATGTAATGTGATGCTCGTCTTCTTTCACAGCATGACCATCTGAGGACAGCACATCAGCAGAACCCATTTATACACTATGTAAATGTTAACTTTCTATATTTATACACACACATACACTGAACAAAATTATAAACGCAACACTTTTGTTTTTGCCCCCATTTTTCATGAGCTGAACTCAAAGATCTAAGACTTTTTCTATGTACACAAAAGGCCTATTTCTCTCAAAAACAAAAGTGTTGCGTTTATAATTTTGTTCAGTGTAGATAGTATTATTCACCTTTATACCACTTTATTACTGGTTTTGGTGTGCCAGTGACTTTGCAGACCAGTTTTACAGTTTGTCCAAGCTTTGCTGGATAGTCAGTAAGATGCTGCTCAAAGCATGGGACAGCTGTAAATATAAAACAAAGAGGTGTTGCAAAAATGCAATAATTTCAAGCAGTCAAAACAGATTTATTCTTAAGTTTGCTCTTCTGTGTCCTAACTTACTCCAAGTGGGCTGTTTGCTGCGCTGCTGAAGGTCTCTCAGATCTTTGAGCCAGGAGAGGCGGAAGAGGATGGATCGAGCTTGCAGAATGATTTTTCTCACCATTCCCCGGTGCTCGTGCCAAAGACCAAATGACCTGTCATCTCCTTCCACTGTATCCTTTACATCAATATCACTCAGCTGTGAAGAAAGCAAATGCATTTGGAATGGATGTGAAATGGACTGCAGTGATTAGTGCTGCCATGATATACATGATATTACATGTGCAGTGTACTATATGCATATCTTTTCAAATGCAAGGTGAACCTTTTCATTGAACAGCATTTAGATTGAATTTCATCAGTGACATTTAGCTACAGTATGTTTTCAGTAAGACAGCATGTAGAATGGACTGTAAAAGTTCTGCATTACAAAAAAATGCTATACTAATAAATGCATATCTGATTATGCCTTCATCTTATTCTTGAATATGTAGGCCTCAGTGTATGTGCCAAGTTCTCTCTTCGGCTTGCAGAAGACAACACAATCTTTGAAGAGAAAGACGTGGCGGTGATGTCCTCTTTGAGAGATTTTGACCTCAGGAATTTCCTCCCATACTGTAAAATGGCCCTGGAAACACATTGACACTATCATTAGCGGAATGATACCTTCCAATCCTTACTCACACTTGTCACCCTGTCAACCAGCAAACAAAGAGGTTCAGGGTATAATGATACAGTACCTGTCTAGTGGGTTCTCCAAGTCCCTTGAGAGGTGCAGGGTAATTCTCAATCATGGACAGATGGTGCAAGTTCTCTGCACGCCAAGGCAAGCTGGAAACAATGGCAAAGGCATCCTCCAGCAGGCAACAGTTCTGTCCGCTTTTTGCTTTGTTCCTGATCAACTCCTAAAAAGACAAAAATGGAAGCTGCTAACAAGCTGTATTGAAAGCAATAATTACGACTTTTTAAATATTGTTTTGTTTTTTGCTGTTTGTGTGTGAATATATTTAAACAGACTGACCCCAACTTTTGAATGGCTGTTGAATCTAATTCATATATATATATATATATATATATATATATATATATATATATACTGTATCCTGGACGACATTAGAGACAGACTGAAGTGTGTGTGTGTGTGTGTGTGTGTATTAAAGAAAATGATTAAGCTACCACACCTTAAGTACATTTTTGTATGTTTGAATTCTCTCCATGGGTCTCTGCAAATACGTGCTAACGCTGAAGACCTGGGTATCCAAATGTGCCAACTCTGTGTTTGCATATTGCTGGAACACAGTAGAAAAATAATTTTGGTTTATTTTAAGATACTTCACATAATTTAAAAGAAGGATCATTTTCTGCCAAACTTAAAACAGTATGTGCTCTTGCCTTGAAGAAATGCTGTGTGTTTTTGTCTGAGATGCAAGCCTCGGCTTGGGGCAGGCCTGTAATGAACTGGAGAGAAAGAGATGTATTTACCATTCATGGAAACTTGCAATATCTCTGATATTGCGGAATATGTACTCTTTTTGACTTAGGATGGTGAGAGGAACTTGAGAGCTTGTCTCTAAGTATTGTAAATGGTGCTCCACAAAGAAGTTCATCTCGCGCACAAAATTATTCTCACCATCAAGGAGTCCCTTGATCAAGCGACTGGAAATAATAAAAAAAAGCATCAAGTTAGTCAATTTAGGGTTTCACAAAACCTAATAATAAAATAAACAATAAAGACATTGTTATTTGTAATCTGTGCATCCTTAAGTGGAGCTGAAATAATGAAAAAAATACAAATACATAAAAATTCTATATATATGAAAAACTTAAAACTAAAAACGTTGTAAGACTTTGTAAGACTTGTAAGTTGTAAGACTTTGAACTTCTGGTAGACTTGAGTCTGATTTACCTTTGGATCAAACTGTGCTCATCCTTTGTAAAAACTGTTTTGCCTTTCTCAGCGGATTCTTTTGTCTCTGCTTCATGGGCCAATGAAAATATTTCCTTAGAGAAAAAAAATGAAATATTATTAAAATAATGTAACAACATTTTATACCATTTATATACACACATCAATTCACCCTTGTCTTCTTTTCTAGGTACGCAGGGGATACCCAGCCTTGACGGGATGGTGTGATCTTGGTTGGCTTTGTACGGACAAGCCACCTCACAGGATGGGCTGAGTCCAGGACCTCCACAAACTGGCCTTCCTTTAGTACAAAAGCCTCTTTGTTTCCTCCCAGAGGCTGACAATCACTTTTGGCTACATAAATATCAAAGGTCTACAAGGTGACAAACACATACACTCCATATAAGTGCATTTGATGATTTAATTTTCACTTGTTTCTAAAGCACTCTGAGCTACAATATGTACAATAAGTTCCAATAATTGAAGTTTATTATTATTATTGTTAATTTATTATAAAAAGTTGCTACCTCTCCTCTATCATCATCTCCATCTGACTCAGAGAACGACTCAGCATTTGCAGAGGACTTGTAGGAATGCATGCGTTTGGGTGAGGGTGTCTGGCTCTGTGAATCGCCACCTATGCCAAATACAAACGCAACAATACAGAAGTCCACAAGGTACAGCATATCGAGCTTCTCAAACTGCTATTGTTGCATATTATTAAATTATCTCTGAGCTTTAAAACATAACTTGTAGTACCAATAGAACTGACCTTTCACTTTTAGCTGGTCTGTATTCTTTGGGGATTGTACACTAATTATTTTTTCTTCTTCACAAGTCTGAGTAGTAGAAGCCTCAGTTTTTGACTTCCCTGCCTCTTTACCTCCTCTATTTGAGAACATATTCATTTAAAAAAAACATTGCAAAGTATTATTCCAAAGTACAAATAAGTGAAAAATGCTCTTACACTGCCATCATTCTTTATAATTAAGAGCCCTTGTGAGGTCTTTACGATGTAAAACTTACCTAGATTGGTATTCTGTCTCAACATCTGGGGCTGTGTCATAATCTGAGTAACAGGATACTAAAGAGGATGCAGAATTACAAAAAACAAAAAAGTTCAGCTGCTACTGATGTGCAAAATTCTATTACTAATCACATTTTCCAGTTGTTTCTTTTTTGTTTAATTTTTATTTATTTATTTAATTTTAGATCATTTTTTTCTTTTCCGATTAGCTACCATTAATCAGTCATAGAACATGACATAATACATGGAATAATTATTGTCTTTAGTGGCATCAGCCAGAAGTTAATGTCAGTGCAGACCTAATCTTGCTTTTATTATATAGCATAAAAGTATAATAAACACTTTGAAACAGACAGAATATTTAGACAACTCACTAGAGCTGACTGAAATTAGACTTCTCCTTTTCTCCTGGATCTTGCTGTAGGTGTCATCTGCCGGTAGGTCATAGGCGAGTCTCAATGACTCCTCTTCAGTGTTAATTGTTGGCAAAACCTCTTTCTCAGAGACCATTTCTGTACCTGGTGTTTGTGCAGTCTGAATTGTTTGTGATGGCTTCTGTGGTTTACCCACTATCACATTCCCATTGTAACTAATTGCCCCAAAATTGTTTGCAACTTCGCATGTGTAGATTCCAGCATCTTTGTTTGTAAAGCTGGAAATTTCTAGAAGACACCTACCATAGGCATTATGGATGATTTTGTGCCTTTCCCCAGGCTTGAGATCTACTCCATCTTTAAGCCAACGCACAGTGCTTATTTTACCTTCCACAACACACTCTAGGAATGCAGTGCCACCAAGATCAATATTCTGGTTCTTGAACACTTCTTTAAAGATGAGCCGCATGTCCTTTCTAGTTTTGTAGCCCTTGAAAGCAGCTTGTATTTTAATCGCAGCCTCAAGCATCTCTGGCTCATCTTCAAAGTCTATGTCTATACCAGGACCACCTTGTTCTGCTTTTAAACTCTTCTGTTTGTCAGAATCCACACTTGTGATCTGCTCTGGCATCATCTCCTCAGGTTGAGTGTTCGATCCTCTGGAAACATCTTCCTTCTGTCCTTCAAGGACAGCCTCCTTCACATTTTTCTGATCTTTATTGTCCATGTGTGGCAAGTTTGGTTCAACTTCCTGTGATGCCTTCTGCACTTCCCTAAAAGATATTGTTATAGCTTTCTCTGCAGGAATTATTTGGTCTCTTAACTGCTGTCTTGTAATGCTTGGTGCCTTTTCCTTAACATGCTTTGGTACTTTTACGTTATGTTCATCTATGACCTGCTTCACATTTTTCTCCTCTCCGCTATCAATGTGTAGTAAGTTTGGTTCCACTTCCTGTGAATCCCTTTGCACATCCCTAATGGACATTGTTGTAGCTTTCTCTGCAGGAATGATTTCTTCTTTAAATTGGCTTGCAATTGCAATATTTGTTGCTTTTCCGGTAACATGCTTTGGTACTTTTCCATGATGTTCATCCACAGCCTGCTTGACATGTTTCAGTTCTCCACTATCAATGTGTGGTAAATTCTGTTCACCTGCCTGTAATTCCTTCTGCACATCTCTAACGGGCATTGTGGTGTCTCTTTGTGCACAAAGGATTTGTTCTTTGGGTTTCTGGCTTGTAATTGCAATACTTGGTGTTATGGTACCATGATGTTCATTCATGGATTGAACCTTTTCAATTTCTGATCTCTTTTCAGATTGGATATTTTGATTTTCATATGCTGCATTCTTATCCAGTGATTTCTGTTTTGGTTCCTTCTTTTTATTTGTATGCAGGGCAAATTCTTCCAACTCTGTTTCCTTGTTCACAATTTGCTCTTTCTTTGGTTCCTTGTTTACAGTTGATTTCTGTTTGATATACTGATTATTTCTTTCTAAATGACATGGTTGTTCCTTAGATGATTCAATGTGTTTCGCTGGTATCTCTTTGAAGACTGGGGTATTTAAGCCATGTTCTGATTTCTTCAAAGTGGTATTCACAGTTTGTTTTATGTCCATATCTTGGATCTTTGCTTCCAAAACAAAGGGCTGCCTTTTGGTTTCAACATGTAGCTGGGACACATTCTCTTTAGGGAGTGACACTGTTAGGTCAACATGCTTTGATGCCTTTGTGGTCTCCACAGTAGCCTCAATGACAACATCTTGTTCCTTGCCTCTCTTGTCAAGAGTTGGCTCTTTAACACTGTGCTGGTCTTGGAGTGAATCATCTGGATGTGTTGTCTTACCCTTTGACCGCGGTGGAGGCAGGGGAACGTCTCTGGGTGGTTCCTTGCTCTGTTCATTTGTATCTATGCTTGGAGTTTTCTTTTGAACTTGCCCTGAGATCTCTTCATTTTGCTGGTCCACAGAAATCTTAGTAACCCATTTGGAATCTGTGTCCAACTCCTTTTTTCTTTGTTCTTCAGGTACATTTGTTGCAAGAGAAGGAATTTCAGGTTCTCCCATGGTGCAACTAGACTCATTGATAACCATTTTGGAACTCACATCTTTTCCCTTTTGTCTCACCAATGATTTTCTCTTGACTTCCTGGTCATCTGTCAGTTTCTCACAGAGATCCTGGAAGTTAACTTCTGATGGCTCTAAGATAGAGACGTCTGATTCCTCAATGACTGCAGCTTGTTTCTTATGGACTAAACCACTGTGTGTTTCTTCCATAATGTTTTTTCCTTTTATTCTTGGTGGGGCTTGAGGGATGTCTTTAATTTTAGGTGGAGCTTCTGGTGTAAAAATATAGGAAATGCAATAATACTTGTTTTGAATTCTAAGTAAAGTTTTAAGCAAAAACTGAAATTTGGCAAAAATGGAAATGAACATAAATGTACCTTTTACAACAACAGAAGCTGTTGTCTCCATCCTAGCAGCACAGCATTTGTAGACACCACTGTCCTGACATTTTAAATCATGGATTTGAAGGTGTAATTCAGAGCCATTCTGTTTCATCTCATACTTGTTTCCTGGTTTTAGCAACACTGATCCCTTTTTCCACTGCACGGCAACTCCAGGTTTTGAGAGCTCACATTTCAGGAATGCAGTTTCACCTTCTTCAGATTCAAGGTTTTGAAGGTTCTTGCAGAAGAATACAGGTTGCCCTGTGCATGCGAAAAATAAATAAATAAATAAAGTGTGGTTTCTTCCATGTATGAAAAAAGTTCTACATGGACAAAAAGTTGGAAATTGCAGATACATGTTTCACTAAAATAATATCTGTACCTGTCACTTTAACTGAACCATTAGTTGCCAGGCTTCCAGCACAGCATTTGTAGACCCCACTGTCCTGAGCTGTTACTTCATGGATTTGAAGCTGTAGTTGGTGGCAATCCTGTTTAATCTCATATTTTTTACCTGGTTTAAGTATTACTGCTCCCTTCTTCCACTGCACAGAAACTCCAGGTTTAGAGAGCTCACAGTGAAATGTGACTGTCTTACCCTCCTCTGCTTCTTGGTTTTGGAGCTCCTTAGAGAAGAACAAGGGATGTTCTAGTGGGGGAAAACAAAAATATGTTTACATGCCTAACAGAAAAAATGGACAAATGAATAGACTAATTAATTCATTCCTCTGTTACATCTATAAAAAAATCACTCACCCTTTACCACAAGAGAAGCAGTTGTCACCATACTACCAGTACAACATTTATAAGAGCCACTATCATCACTTTTCAGGTCACGTATCTGGAGTTGTAGCACACAGCCATCTTGTTTCATTTCATACTTGTTTCCAGGTTTTAGCAAAACTATTCCCTTCTTCCACTGCACAGCAACTCCAGGTTTAGAGAGCTCACAGGTCAGGGTGACTGTCTCACCTTCCTCTGCTTCAAGGCTTTGGAGGTTCTTGCAGAAGAATATTGGTTGCTCTGGACATGGGGAAATAAAAATACATTTCATGTTTCTACCATTTGTGGCTATATTCACAAATCATGTGCTCTTAACGAATTATCATAAAGTGCTGATTTAATAGCAATCAATGTTGTAAGAGTGCTCTACATGGAAAGAGTACTTTTTCACTTAAACATGTTTTTATACCATTCACTGTAACAGAGCAAGTAGTCACAAGGCTTCCGACACAACATTTGTAGGCCCCACTGTCTTGAGTTGTTAGCTCATGGATACAGAGCTGTAGTCGACGGCCATCCTGTTTTATCTCATATTTTTTACTAGGTTTCAAAAGCACTGTTCCCTTCTTCCAATGCACTGAAACTCCAGGTTTAGAGAGCACACAGTACAATATGGCTGTCTTACTCTCCTCTGCTTCTTGGTTTTGGAGCTCATCAGAGAAGAACAATGGCTTTTCTTGAGAGGGAAAAACAAAAACATATGGTGTCACATGTTCAACAAAAACAAATATACACATGAACAGATTAATGAATTCATTTTTATTTCAAAAGTCAAATTGTGAAAAATGGTATTTGCATAATTCACTTACCTTTTACCACAAAAGAAGCAGTTGTGACCAGGTTTCCAAAACAACATTTGTAGTCCCCACTGTCCTGGACTGTTAGCTCATGGATCTGAAGCTGTAGCTGACGGCCATCCTGTTTTATCCCATATTTTTTACTAGGCTTCAAAAGCACTGTCCCCTTCTTCCACTGCACTGAAACTCCAGGTTTAGAGAGCACACAGCACAATGTGACTGTCTTACCCTCCTCTGCTTCTTGGTTTTGGAGCTCCTCAGAGAAGAACAAGGGATGTTCTGGTGAGGGAAAATCAAAAATATCTACATCTTTACATGCTCAACAGAAAAAAACTGGACACATAAACAGTCCAAAAAATGGTTATACCAAACACCATACTTACAGATATCACACTTGAATAACTTCACTCACCTTTTACCACAAGAGAAGCAGTTGTGACAAGGCTCCCAACACAACATTTGTAGGCCCCACGGTCCTGAGTTGTTAGCTCATGGATCTGAAGCTGTAGCTGCTGGCCATCCTGTTTAATTTCATATTTTTTACTAGGCTTTAAAAGCACTGTTCCCTTTTTCCACTGCACTGAAACTCCAGGTTTAGAGAGCTCACAGTGCAATGTGACTGTGTTACCCTCCTCTGCTTCTTGGTTTTGGAGCTCCTCAGAGAAGAACAATGGCTGTTCTGGAAGGGGAAAACAAAAATATCTCTGTCTTTACATGCTCAGCAGAAAAAAGTACGTATGAATTCATTAATTATGTCAAACATCAAAGTATGGAAAAATTGTATTTGAATAATTCACTCACCTTTAACCACAAGAGAAGCAGTTGTGACAAGGTTCCCAACACAACATTTGTAGGCCCCACTGTCTTGAGCTGTTAGCTCATTGATCTGAAGCTGTAGTTCACGGCCATCCTGTTTTATCTCATATTTTTTACTAGCCTTCAACAAAACTGTTCCCTTCTTCCATTGCACTGAAACTCCAGGTTTAGAGAGCTCACAGTGCAATGTGACTGTGTTACCCTCCTCTGCTTCTTGGTTTTGGAGCTCCTCAGAGAAGAACAATGGCTTTTCTGTAGAGGGAAAACAAAAGCATATATGTCTATAATCTATTCATGTGTCTATTTGTTTTCTATTGAACATATACTTTATATTAAAAGTGGGCATGTGAATAATCCATTTACCTGTTATTACAAGAGAAGCAGTTGTGACCAGGTTCCTAGCACAACATTTGTAGGCCCCACTGTCCTGAGCTGTTAGCTCATGGATCTGAAGCTGTAGTTTGCGGCCAACCTCTTTAATCTCATATTTGTTACTAGGCTTCAAAAGCACTGTTCCCTTTTTCCACTGCACTGAAACTCCAGGTGTAGAGAGCTCGCAGCACAATATGGCTGTCTTACCCTCCTCTGCTTTATGGTTTTGGAGCTCATCCGAGAAGTACAATGGTTTTTCTGTAGAGGGAAAACAAAAGCATACATGTCTTTAATCTGTTCATGTGTCAATTTGTTTCTTGCTAAAATTAATCAATTCTTATGTCAAAGGTCAAAATGTGGAAAATTGGCATTTGAATGACCTTTTATCACAAGAGATCCAGTTGTGACCAGGCTACCAGCACAACATTTGTAGGCCCCACTGTCCTGGACTGTTAGCTCATGTATCTGAAGCTGTAGTTGACAACCATCCTCTTTAATCTCATATTTTCTACTAGGCTTCAGCAACACTGTTCCCTTCTTCCACTGCACAGAAACTCCAGGTTTAGAGAGCTCAGAGCAAAATATTGCTGTCCTACCCTCTTCTGCTTCTTGGTTTTGGAGCTCCTTGGAAAAGAACAAGGGATGTTCTGTAGAAGGCAAACAAAAAGTATGCATTCATGCTTTACTGAAAGACAACTGGAAAGATAAAAAAAGATTAATGATTGAGTGATTTTTATGTCTGAATATTTTTATGTCCCTTACCCTTTACCACAAGTGAAGCAGTTGTCACCAGACTGCCAGCACAACATTTATACGAGCCACTATCTTCATGTTTCAGGTCATATATTTGAAGCTGTTGCAGACAGCCATCTTGTTTCATCGCATACTTGTTGCCTGGCTTTAGCAACATTGTTGCCTTCTTCCACTGCACAGCAACTCCAGGTTTAGAGAGCTCACAGGTCAGGGTGGCCGTCTCACCTTCCTCTGCTTCAAGGCTTTGGAGCTCCTCTTGGAAGACAACTGGTGATTCTGGAGAACACCAAATACATTTTTAACAATTTCTACTACCTGAAATAAAGCTAATCTTATGCTGGATCGCTCCATACTTACTCGTTTTCCTATCCAGTGCATAGATTGTTGCATCTCTACTTTTCTGTATTTTATTCAAGAGTAAGTCGATTGAACAATTTTGTAGAATTTTCATTATAGAAAAACACATACCTTTCACATCGATAGCTGCTGTGGTCACCAAGCTACCAGCACAACATTTGTAGACACCACTGTCCTGACTGTTGAGCTCATGTATCAGAAGCTGTAATTTACAGCCATCTTGCTTCATCTCATATTTGTTTCCTGGTCGAAGCAAAACAATTCCCTTCCTCCACTGCACTTCCACTCCAGGTTTAGAGAGCTCACAGCTCAGTATGGCAGTCTCACCCTCTTCTACTTCTTGCTTTTGGAGCTCCTCACAGAAAAACAGAGGTTGTTCTGGATGCAGCAAATAAGTATGTTAATTGATGTGTACTCTAACAACTCATCTTGGAAGCTAAATTGAATATACCATACCTTTCACTTCCAGAGAAGCTGAAGTCACTAGACTACCAACACAGCATGTGTAGACACAATTGTCTTGGCTTGTGAGCTCATGGATCTGAAGCTGCAGTTCACTACCATTCTGCTTTATTTCATACTTCCTTCCAGGCTTTAGCAGCACAGATCCCTTCTTCCACTGTACGGCAGCCCCAGGTTTGGAAAGCTCACAGCAAAGGAAGGCAGTTTTGCCCTCTTCTGCTTCTTGACACTCAAGCATCTTGATGAAGTACAAAGGATGTTCTGAAAAATAAATTGTAATCTTTCAATTATTCAGTCTTTAGGAATTAAAACGTCTTTAATAAATAAGCTAATTTGTTTATGTTTATGTTATTTCATTTTGTTTTTATTTTTAAATATGTATTTTAATATTGTACAGTAAATCAGAAGAGGGCAAATACTTTTTCACAACATCATAGTATGGCCCTGTAATTTCACGATTCTCACCTTTGACTACAATGGATGCTGTGGTAACCAGGCTTCCAGAGCAGCACTTGTATGTGCCACTATCCTGACGTGTCAGGTCATGGATCTGTAGCTGTACTTTGCAGCCATCTTGTTTCATCTCATATTTGTCTCCCGGTCTCAATCGTATTGCTCCCTTCTTCCACTGCACTTCAACTCCAGGTTTAGAGAGCTCACAGCAAAGGAAGGCTGTCTCGCCCTCCTCTGCTTCCTGGTTATGGAGTTCCTCACAGAAGAAAAGAGGTTGCTCTGAAAAGGGAAAGCAAATTAACTAGATTAGCAGGAAATGGTTTCTTTTAGTCTTTCGCTAAATGGTCTTACTTAAACACCAATGACAGATGAATATCCACGCCTTAAAGGGGTCATATGATGCGATTTCAATTTTTCCTTTCTCTTTGGAGTGTTACAAGCTCTAGGTGCATAAAGAAGATCTGTAAAGTTGCAAAGACTAAAGTCTCAAATCCAAAGAGATATTCTTTATAAAAGTTAAGAGTCAGCCACGCCTACCTAAAACGGCTCGTTCTAACATGCCCCCACATATCTATGTCACGATGTGGGAAGATTTGCATAACGCTGCCCAAATGTTCACGCAAAGAAAGGTCTCACCTCATTCGGTGTCCTTGTGTCTCTTTGTTTGTTTCCTTTGTGTCTCTCTTTGTGTTTTTCGTTTCCATCTCTCACTATAATTTCCTTTCCCCTCTAGTCCCCTCATCAGGGAACTCCCTTAACTCAACTTTAAATTCAGGTCGGCGGGGCATAGAGGAGAAACAGTAATGTACAGTATGTGGAAAATAATGTGTTTTTTGAACCTTAAACCACATAAACACATTTCATTACACCAAATACACAAAATAATGTTCTTTTTAGCAGCATCATATGACCCCTTTAATTAAAAACCTATATTATAATTATTATACACAAACTCTGTTGCAAACATTTAAGGATGCACTGATAGTAAAATTGTTGACTGATACCAACAAATTATTATTTTCATTATACGGCTGATAACTGATACATGATCAGTATTAAAATTCTATATATTTTTTTCACACTAAAAGTAAAACATTACAAACTAAAATGAATAGTTTTAAATGCTACAAATTAATTTATGCATCACAGCATTATAATGTACATTATGAAAATGAGATTTGCTAAAGATTACATTTAATCATGTTTTATAACTATTAGTGTTTAAAGTGATCTACATTGAATGTAAAAATAGGGGGAATGAGCACGAACAATAAAATATCCAATATCGACTAATACTACAACAACGAATCTAAATATATACCATAACCGTATTATTATTGTGCATTCCTACCTTTAACAATAATATTAGCCCGTGTCTCTATGTTGCCAGCACAACATCTGTAGGTACCACTATCTTGACTTGTGAGATCATGGATCTGAAGTTGTACTTCATTGCCCTCTTGCATCATCTCATACTTCTGTCCATTCTTCAGCAGCATTGCCCCCTTTTTCCACTGTACTGCTACTCCAGGTTTAGAGAGCTCACAGCACAGGAACGCTGATTCACCTTCTTCTGCTTCTTGGTTTTGGAGCTCTTCATGGAAAAATAAAGGACATTCTGTGGCACAAGGGAAGAAGAAACAGTCGTAAAACAAATGTTCACAATGCAAAAAAACATTATTTAATGAATTATATAAAGTACTAAGTGCAATTAATGCATTTTATAAAGTATTACTGAATATTTCCACTCATTCACTGACATTCAGTTCACGCATAGATTAAATCCTCCCCATCAAATGAAATATATATAGACAAGCAATTATTTTGGTATTACCTTTTACAGTAATACTAGCCCTTGTCTCAATGCCATCGGCACAACACCTGTAGGCCCCACTGTCTTGACTTGTGAGGTCATTGATCTGTAGCTGCAGCTCACATCCATCCTGTTTCATCTCATATTTGTTACCAGGCCTAAGAAGAACTGCTCCCTTCTTCCACTCAACTGCAACTCCAGGTTGAGACAATTCACAGCACAAGAAAGTAGTCTCACCTTCTTCTGCTTCTTGGTTTTGGAGCTCCCGGCAGAAAAACAAAGGACGTTCTGAGAGTAAGCAAAGAGCCCCTTAGGTATACGTGACAATTTCACAATTTCCTTCTATGAAACAATACTTCAAAATTGTATTATTGAAATATGAAGTACTAGGAGAACCAATTAACAATAAAAAATAGGTAATGAATGTATGAATTTAAAAATAAATCATGTTTCAAACAAAGACATACTAAAACTGATAATTTAATTTATTTTTAAATAAATATATCAAATAATGATTTATTTTATTATTTTATTAAAAGTAATAGATAAAATAATAATCTTTAAAGTTGGAGCAAATGTTTCAAGCTGTTCCTACCTTTGACTGTAAGAGTAGCACTACTCTGCATGTCTCCTGTATCGCACATGTAAATCCCAGCATCCTCTTTTCTGACTTTATGAATCAGAAGAACATTACGTTTCCCGTGTTTCAGAGGTTCATACTTTTCCCCAGAGAGCAGGGTTACATTATTTCGTTTCCAGGTGACAGGTGTGCAGGTGTCAGAAGTCACACAGGATAGGGTGGCAGAATCTCCCTCAAAAATGATCATGTCCTTCAGTCTTTCCTCTATGAAAACTACAATGAGAGAATGCACTTTAGAGTATGCAGTTAAAAGGATACATTACATTTTGGTATATCCTTTTATCTTATATATCAGTTCGTCTGCTTGTTAATAGTAAATAAATGAAAGAAATTATTTGCAATAAGGATTTTTACACTCACCTGCAGGTTTGCTGTTCACGCGAAGACGAGCAGAGGTCTTTTCATTTCCCACCTCAAAGGACACATCACCTGACTCTTCGGTTGTGGTCATAGTGAGCACTAAGTGATGTTCTCGACCACAGATACTCATCTGGTTCATCTCGTTCTCCTGAAGTTCATTGGAACCAAGCCACCAAATCCCGTCAAGGATGTTCTCATGTGAAAGCTCGCACACAAAGTGTGCGCTCTCGCCTGCAGTAACTGTCAAGTCACGCAGTCCTTTCACAATCCTCACACGCTCTGGAAAGGAACCGAATAAAGGAACACCTCTGTTGTGAATTCACTGGAGTCCTTGGAGTTTATGTTTGAAGGCAAGCTACACTTTATTATAAACTTTTTATGTAGGTTTGTTTTGATTTACCCATCACTCTGAGGGTCGCAGAGGTGTTCTTGCCTCTGACACTGCATGAGTACACGGCAGCATCCTGCACTCTCAGTTTCCTGATTTCAAGCTCCTGAGTTGAACCTTTACGGTGGAGGGTATATCGCCCACCCTGTGTGATCTGATTTGCATCTTTTCTCCAAGTCACTGGGGCATTATCGCTAGAGAGCAAACAACGAAACAGGACAGAATCCCCCTCCATTGCTTCTTGACTCTCAAGCTCTTTCTCAAAGAACACAGAGGCAGCAGCTGTGAGAGGTTTAAGAAATATGATCTCAACAACAGCTCAAAAGTATTTTGAGAGAAAAATTGCAAATTATAAATCATGTTGGAATGTTAATTGGTAGAGTTTATGATATGATATGACACTGTGTGTGTATGACCCTGTGATTCATGAAGGGTATCATACAGGGTTCATGAAAGGATCATGAGGGTATCAATAATGGTGGAAATGGCTGAGGTTCAGTTGGGGGACCCTAGCTGAGGAGTCAGGAGAGATTTTTTTCATTATTCCATGGCAATTTTGAGATTACCTGATCCTATTCAAATAAAAAAATAAGCATTAAGCTTATGCTCACCTAAGATGCATTTATTTTAAAGGAAATAGAGTAATATAAATATATAGAATAAAAAATATAAGTAATATTGTGAAATACTATTGCAATTTGAAATAACTGTTTTCTTTTTTACTACATTTTAAAATGTAATTTATTCCTGTAATGGCAAAGTTGATTTTTCAGCCGCCTTTACTCCAGTCTTCAGTGTCACATGATCCAAACTCAGAAATCATTCTAACATGCATCTATCTAATAATGATTTGCTGCAAAATAAACATTTCTTATGAATAATGAAAACAGTTGTGCAGCTTAATATTTTTGTATACATTAAAACATTTTTTCTTTGATGAAAAACAAGTTATCTATATCTTTGATGAAAAACAAGTTATCTATAAAAGTTTCTATTTAACAAGTTAAAAAGAAATCTTCTGTAATGTTATAAATTAAGAATTCAAGAAACAAACGTGTTAATTTTATAACTCATACAGCTTTCTTGAGGCTATTTTGTGGAAACAAAATCCTCATAATTTTCCTTAAAAATATAACTAGTTTGAATCAAAATGGCATCCCACCTCTAAATTCACTATCTGGTCCCCCACATTCTATCATTTCCAGCCTTGGGTATCATAGAGTGTTTACAGCACTGTGAAAATGTTGTCAAGGTAATGGGTGTAGACACAAACAGGTGTCTTTAGACAACATTAGTTAATTTGCAATGACAAAATCTGATTTGACTGAATCCGATTATTCAAAAAATCTTGTGTGCACCCATTGAGAGTGTGTACCCATTAAAGTGGCATTGGACCTACCCCTAACATTAACTTCAGCTGTAGTCTTCTGGTCTCCAACAATGCAGCTGTATTCCCCAACATCCATGGGAAGAACGTTTTTAATGTGTAATTCGGCAACCAATCCCTCCTGCTTGATCTTGTATCTAGTCCCATTGCAGAGCTCCTCGTCCCCTTTTAACCATGCTACTGGTACCCCAGCTTTGGACAGCTCACAATGCAGAATAACAACACCTCCCTCAGGAGCCTCTTGGTTCTTCAGGTTTTGTTTGAACGTTACTGGTGTGGCTGAAGAGTAGCACAGTAACACGTTAGCTCGTAGTGAGCTCAAGCGACAATAAAAGCTCAATTTTCTCTAAAACTTTCATCCATACCGAATACTCGGATCGTGGCTTTGGTCTTCTGCTCCCCACAAATGCAGCTGTAGACTCCACTGTCTTCAGGCATGGCCTTTGTGATGATCAGCTCCCTTGTAACATCATGTTCTCGGATTTGATATTTATACCCTGACCTAAGAAGCTCTTCCCCCTTCCTCCATTCAACAGGACATCCAGCTTTTGAAAGCTCACAGTGCAACACGAGTTTATTTTCTTCTTCAACTTCCTGATTTTTCAACTTGACTTTAAAAGTGATAGGTGGAACTGGAAACGTTAACAAAAAGGTATAGGTATGCCAGATTATTTTACTACAAAGCCATGCAGGCCCTCAAAGCACAGCAAAGCTGAAAACTACAGCACAAGAAGCAATACAGTGTAATAGCAGCAAGCCAAGAAAGACAAAATGTGCCAAGCTGCCGCTGCAAAAAGACTGCATGCCTTACCCTTCACGGTTAGCTCAGCAGTTGACTCAGAATCCTTGGTTTTACACGAATAGTTCCCAGCATCACTTGCTTCAACATTACGTATGACCAGTTTGGTGAATGTACCCTCTTGCTTCATTTCATATTTGTCATCAGGCTTGAGAATAACTCTTCCTTTTCTCCAGTCGACTTGAGCACCGGGTTTAGAGAGCTCACAGCTAAACACAGCTTGCCCACCTTCTTTGGTTACTTCGTTTTGAAGTTCTCGTTTAAAAGTGACAGGTAGAGCTATGAAAACCATACAAAATGTATTCAAGTTCCAAAATCCAAAAGAGGAAAGTTACTAAGTAATTGCAAAATTAATGAAAGATCAAGATCAGATCTTGCAGTATTATAGCGTACCCCTAACTTTGACCTCCGCTGTCGTTTTTTCCTTTCCGGTAATGCAGCTGTAGAAGCCGACATCTTCAGAGTTTACATTTTTAATGAGAAGTTCAGCAATCCGTCCTTCAGTCCTCATCTGGTACTTTTCTCCAACCTGCAGCAACTCTTCACCCCTCCACCATTTCACCATAGCTCCCGGTTTGGAAAGCTCACAATGGAAAGCAACTGTGTTGCCTTCCACCGCTTCTTGATTTCTCAAGTTTTGTTTGAAAGTGATCGGGAGAGCTAAGAAATCGCAAAAAATATCTGGGTCACCTAAGCAGAATATTTGACCTAAAAGTCTGCATTTATTTAATAAATTGCTTAAGTTTTGTACCATTGATTTTAACTGTAGCTATGGATGTCTGATCAGGGCATACACAAAAGTAGACTCCACTGTCTTCAGGTATGGCTTTTCTGATAACGAGCTCCATTTTAGTTGCTATCTGTCTCAACTGAAACTTTTCTCCATGCTTTAGGACTTCCTCTTCCTTCAACCACTTCACATCAGCACTGGCCTTAGAGAGTTCACAGCGCAATGTGATGTTGTTCCCTTCTTCACCCTCTTGATTCTTAAGTTCTTGTTTGAAAGTGATGGGGAGAGCTACACAGATCAGTAAAACGATGAAGATGTTGCATGATCTGATAAGCTTTTAATTTCTAACAACAAATTAGGTAATTCTTAAATGCAGGAACCTGCATATGAAAACATCTTGGATCATACCATTAACTTTGATGGTAGCTTCAGTCTTTTGATCTCCACATATGCAGCGATACACTCCACTGTCTTCTGGTTGTGCCTTCCTTATTAACAACTCTACTGTTGCTTCTTTCTGTCTCAACTGATATTTTTCTCCAGTCTTGAGCAGTTCTTCTCCTTTCCACCACTCTACTCGAACTCCAGCCTTAGAAAGTTCACAGTGCAGATTGACACTGTTCCCCTCCTGAGTTTCTTGGTTCTTCAAATTTGTTTTAAAGTTAGCAGGGAGTCCTTTAGAAAGCCAAGAATTGAGTAAGCCTGTATTCATGAAGGTTATAGACTAGCCAAAAGGGTGAATGTTGTGTCTTTCCATCAGCAAAGAGCTACAAAAAATGTACCAGTGTATACTTTTTGTGCTTGAGAGCAATCACCTTTAATAATTACATCAGGTAAAGTCATCAAAGAAATGTCATCTATTGAGGTTCATTTTATTGATGTATTATGTATACCAACACACCACAGATCTTTATAACTAGCCCATGCTGTAATGAAAGGGTCAAGATAAAAAAATAAAGCCTACCTTTCTACTGTAGTTTTAATCAACTAATAATAAATAAAGGGATTTCAGATAGCAAGACTCTTCTGATGTCAAATAATGAGTGTAATTTGAGGGTATGAATCATCATGTAATGAAAATCCAACAGTGATCTATATCACTGTTGAGAGATTAATTAAACCTGTGTACGTGGCTGATGTAATGTCATGACAGAGTGCTATTGTAGCTGTGGAAGAAAAGGACATTTTTAATGAAATGGAAGAACTGGATCACTCAACGCTAGACAAAAATCAAATGGCGATGAAAATGAAATGCATATGAAATCCATAATGTCAGAAAATTCAGCAGTACTTTGTTTATATTTATAACGGATTGGATCTTACCTTGAACTGTCAATTCGGCTGTCGATTGTGAATCTTTGGCTTTGCAGGTGTAATTTCCCGCATCACCCTCAACAAGATTATTTATCAGCAGTTTGGTTAATCGCCCCTCAAGCGTCATATGATATTTGGCTCCGCTTTTCAGCATCACTCTACCTTTCCTCCACTCAACTGGAGCACCAGGCTTTGAAAGTTCACAGGTAAATACTGCACTCTCACCCTCCGTAGATATCTGATTCTGAAGCTCTCGTTTGAAAGTAATTGGAAGGGCTGAGAAAACATTGACAGGTCTTTTAATATGAACAATTGAACTCACAGGCAGTAATCATATGATATATACTGTACACTACCGTAAAAAGCTGCAGAAAGTATGATACTTTTTTTTCGGATTCTTTGATAAGTAGAAAGTTCAAAAGAACAGTATTTATTTGAGAGATCTTTTGTAACATTATAAATGCCTTTACTTCCACTTTTGATCAATTTAAAGCAGCTTTGCAGAATAAAATTATTAATTAAAAAAAAATCTACTGACTTTAAACTTTTGAACGGTACTGTACAGTATACAGTATATATTTAACATGTTTTTGACATTACGTTTGACTTTCACTTCAGCTGTGGTCTTTTGGCTTCCAGTCACACAGCTGTATATCCCAGCATCATCAGGGAAAACATTAGTTATTTCCAACTCTGCAGTCTTTCCATCCAGCCTCATCTGGTACTGTGGCCCTGGAAGGAGCGGTTTATCTCCTCTCCACCATTCCACAGGTACTCCAGTTTTGGAAAGCTCACAGTGAAGGGTTATAGATTTGCCTTCCAGAGCTTCTTGGTTCTTAAGGTTTTGCTTAAAACTAGCAGGAGCACCTGTGAAACCACCATATGAATTTTATAATAACATACATTTTATAATAATGAAAACAAATCAATGAAACAAAATCTTACCAACAATTTTGACTGTAGCTTTGGTCTTTTGGTCTCCACAGACACATCTGTAGACTCCACTGTCTTCAGGCATGGCCTCACAGATGATCAGCTCAACTGATGTGTCTCGTTCTCTCATCTTATACTTCTCTCCAGGCTGGAGCAGTTCCTCTCCATTCCACCATTCTACTGGGACACCGGTTTTAGAAAGCTCACAGTGCAATGTTATCATCTTCCCTTCCTCGGCTACCAGGTTTTTCAGCTTCTCTTTAAAAGTAACAGGTTGAGCTACAGAACAAAAAGGAAAACAAGTAAGAACATCCTTATTTTTTTGTTCTTTCAACTTTGGCAAACGAACAAGTGAACAGATGACTGTATGTGCTCTCTTTACACACACACACACACGTGCTTAACAAATTTATTCGACCACCTGTCATAAAGACAGAAAACAAATATTTTAGGAATCTGTCAAAACTTTAAACCTAAAAACTGTATAATCATTTATTAGGCAAATAACAAACTGAAACAACTAAATAGTCTTTATTCACACATAATAACAAAAAAACTTTTATCTTGTATGGCCTCCTTTGGCCTTGATAACAGCTTGCATTCTTGCTGGCATTGTTTTTATGTAATTTTCCAGTCTCTGTTGTTATTGACTTCCAAATAGTTTCTAGTTGTTCCCAAAGACTTGCTTTTGATGAAAATTTTGTGCTATCTATCTTTGAATCCATAAAATTTCAACAATAATTATATTTTAGCATTACTGAACTACTGGACTGACTGGGTAAGCACAAAAAATCCTTACTCCTTAGTGTTCCTTTTTCCTTATTGGTAACCCTTACTAGTGAATTTAACTAACTTACCGCTAACCGTGATGTTGGCTGATGTCTCAGCAGTTTCGCTCGTACAGCTATAGACTCCGCTATCATCTTGCGTCAAATTAAAAATCTTCAGCTCTAGCATGCAGCCTCTCTGCCTGATTTTGTACTTCTCCCCAGACCTGAGAAGGTTGCTTCCTTTTCTCCACTGGACAGGGGTGTCTGGTTTGGATATCTCGCAGTGTAAGATTATACTGTTTCCCTCTTCAGCCATTTGATTTCTTAACTTCTGTTTGAACGTGATAGGTTGAGCTAAGGAAATACAAACGGATATATAAGCTCCATTTTCAGCATTCAGAGTACTGGAAAAGCAAATTCTATATATTTAACATCTTGTCTTACTTCGTATTTTGACAATGGCTTTGGTCCTTTGATCCTCACACACACAGATGTATGTTCCACTGTCCTCAGGAACTGGACTTCTGATTACCAGCTCTAGTATGGTGACTATGTGCCTCATCTGATACTTCTCCCCAGGCAAGAGAGTTTGTTCACCTTTCAACCATTCCACTGGGATTCCAGCTTTAGAAAGCTCACAGCGTAATATCACATTTTTACCTTCATCTGTCTCTTGGTTCTTGAGCTCTTTAATAAATGATATAGGAACCGCTGGAATGGATGAAATGGCATAAGTAAAGCTACACGATCAAAGCTGAATACTATAATTTCATTTTCATAGCAATCGATATCAATACCATTGACTGTAAGAGTAGCCATAGTTCTTTGGTCTCTGCAAATGCATGTGTAATTCCCTGAATCTTCTGGCTTCAGATTGTGTATTATAAGAGAAATGCAAGATTTCCTCTGCCTCATGTGGTACTTCTCACTAGATTTTAGCGTCTCGGGTCCTTTGCGCCACACAAACTGGACCCCGGGTATAGAGTATTCGCACATCAGCGTTACACTCTCTCCCTCTTTGACCTCTTGGTTCTGAAGCGCTTTTGTAAACTCAGCAGGAATAACTAATGTGAAACAAACATACAGATTTCAAATTTCAACCAAATTTAAAAAAACTTGGTGGTAAATTGCAGAAAAGAGACGTTTGAAATACCTTTAACAGTCACGGTGGCTTTAGTGCTGACAGATCCTGCATCGCACTCATACACCCCTGCGTCACTGTCTTTCACATCACGGATGGCCAGCCTGGCCTCATTTCCCGATCGACTCACTAAGTACTTTGAGGAATTCCAGATTAAACAGCCATCTTTGTACCAAACAATATGACATGGCTTTGAGGTCTTGCATAACAGCACCAAACTTCCTCCTTCGATTGCTTCTGTGTCTTCCAATGCTTTAGTTATCGTGGGGCGTCTCTCTGTAATTCAAATAAGTTGTATTACAAAGACAATCATTTTTGGTAACACTTTATTTTAAGGTGTCCTTGTTACACATATTGCATGTAACCCTAAGACAAACCGTAATCCTAACCCTAACCATATAGTAAGTATGTGTAGTTAATTAATATTACTCAGTACTTAAATGTATAATTACACTGTAACAAGGACACCTTAAAATAAAGTGTAACCTCATTTGTATACATACATTTCAATTGTATGCTGTACACCAGGGGTGCCCAATCCTGTTCCTGGAGATCTACATTCCTGCATAGTTCAGTTCCAACCCTGATCAAATACTGTAATTATCAAGTGCTCCTTCAGATCCTAATTAGTTGGTTCAGTTGTGTTTGATCAGGGTTGGAGCTGAACTCTGCAGGAAGGTAGATCTCCAGGAACAGGGTTGGGCACCCCTGCTGTACACTCTAATCTATATTGCATTTTGTTTCACATTTTTTTTACTTAATAGTCAATACAAAGACAAAAAAAACTGTTTAAACATAAGCCTCTTTAAAATAACTTTCTGATTTAAAATTCCTCTTTTGAGGTTTTTGAACCATCAAAAAGTTGTCAGAAATTATACATAAATTTCTATTTTTAATACCAAAGCAGTAAAAGAAACTGACAGTTTCATCTTTTGTAAATGTGTCCTTATGAGAATTTTTAATAGTTATCCACTATATTTGCCACAGGCATCTTGTCAAGTGTCAGGATTTATGACAGTTACCTCTAACTAATAGTGATGCGTATGATCTTTTGTCCCCAGCCTCGAAGGAGATGGTGCCGGTGTCTTTACGTGCAAGCTGTTTGAAGGTAAGAGTGTGGTATCCACCAGGTATCATCTTGATCTCATTAAGATCATTAGTGTAGAGCAAGGTCTCATCCAGGTACCATTTGACATCAGTGTAGTCACTTGGGCAGATCCGACACTTAAAGGTGATGGTATCTCCTTCTAGACACTCTTTATCTTCTAGTTCATCCACAATGACCACTTTTTGACCTGAGGGCCAGATTCATATGAAAAATATGACAGATGCATAAAAACTGAACATGTCTTAAAATTCATAGGGCCAGTTTTACTAAACAGGGCAAATTAGCACGACAGCACAATTCCAAAACAGCGCCGATGGGAGAGGAAATTTCTGCGGGTGATTTACTAACAATACGCAAAATAAAGAGCACAGACGCAACATCTCATTTACATATCGACCAACGCAATATACCAAGCACAGGGCAAATTAGCGTAGTCGCAAATAAAGAATAAAGAAATAAAGAAGCCACAGTACGTTGAAAAGAACCGGAGGCCAAAAAATGAAGGTTTGCTTGAAGTTTTGATAGAGCTGGTATTGCGTGACTAGGTTCCAAGGCGTCTTTTACATCCTGAAGCAAATTAAAAAATAACATGGCTTGGCAAACAATATGATATGCAAACGAAATGTGTTCTTCTGGCATTCAAAATAAATTAATACGTGTGGAAAAAATCCTCTCCCTTCTACCACGCGTTCTCTGTTCTCTGCGGTGCCTCCTCCAGCAACAATAATTGCAGCCATTTCAAGCGCAAAATAGTTTAAGACATGCTTTGTTTGGGTGTTAAATAATGGCGCAAATACGAGCGCAAACATTATTAAAACGCGTTGCGTGATTCATTTGAATACTCTCCTCCCATAACTTTTGTGTCTGAAAGGGAAACTCCTACAAATACATATTCAATAAGGTCAGGCACTAAAATAACTGTCCATGCCTTTTCAGCACTAATTCGTCACTGCGCGTCTTTAGTAAATCCTGACAGTACTATTTTAATGCCAAAAGACGGTTTTCTGCTGGCACAAGCTGTTAATAATACTGGCCCATAGTGTCCAAATGTTACCATTCTTGTAACATAACATCTAGTAATCTCAGATTTACAACCTTATTATTATATTATATTTTTATGACATTTATTATTTTAAGTCAATAAAGACAAATCTAATTTGCCTACCTTGAATTGTAAGTAAAGCCCTGCTCTGCATTGTCCCAACATCACAGGTGTAGACAGCACAGTCACTTTTCTCCAGATTGAAGATGGTCAGAGTGAGGACAACATCTTTCTTCTTCATCATGTACTTCTGTCCCGAGCTGAGCACCATTAGGCCTTTTAACCAGGTCACAATAGCGGCAGGCCTCCTGGTTTCACACTCCATGGTCACCATACCCTTTTCCTCTGCACGCATATCCTTCAGTTCCTTTGCAAATGTATGTTGCAAGTCTGAATTCACAACGAGAAAAGATTAACTGAGTTTATGGCACTCAGCAGAATGAACAAAGCTTTTGCACTGGGAAAAATTAAAAACAAGTGTAATAAATGAGTATTTACCTCTGACATCTAATCTCGCCCTTGTAGCAATCCCATCAGCCTCACAGCAGTACTCTCCTGAGTCCATTATAGCTGCATTATGGATGATGAGCTTCACCAGATAATTATTTTGGGTAATTTCATATTTTGGGCTGACTCTAATTAGCCGCCCATTTTTCAGCCATTTAACTGTTGCATCGGGTTTCGTGATCTCACAGCTGAGCTGTGGATCTTCACCAGGTGTTGCTTTAACATTTAGCATATCCCTAAAAACTCTCACAGGTTTCTCTGAGAACAAAAGAGACAGAAAATGAGCAATACTTGTAAAATGTGTGATATTTAAATAATAAGGGGTCTCACCTTTCACAAACAGCATAGTCCTGCAGCTGAGCTCTTTAATGGTAAAGACCACTTCGCCGGCATCAGATATTGTAACTTCCTGAATGCTCATTGTGTATTTGCACCCTTTGTTAGCGACTATGATCTGTCCATTGCTTACAATCAGTTGGCCATTCAAAATCCACGATGCTTCATCAATGATATCATGGGACAGGACACACTGAAAGCTGCAGCTTTCCCCTTCCAGCACAGTTGTTGTCCGTATGCGTTTGACAATGGTAATGTGCAGGTCTAAAAAAAGTCCCTCACATTAAATAAAATGTATTTTTGTTAAATTAATTATATCTAATTTTAATTAGATTCAAATATAGATTTTAAAACCTACCACGAACTATGACTTTCGCTTTAGTTTGGCTGCAGCCAATATCACAACTGTACTCTCCTCTGTCGTCCTTTCTCAACTTGCGAATTATAAGAGTCAATGACTTTCCCACATGGAGAATCTCATACTTCTCATTGGCGGTCAGAATTTCACCATCTTTCCTCCAGACAGGTTTCACTGATGGCTTGGAAACGTCACACTGCAAAAGGATTTCACCACGTTCCTCACCTGCTACGTCCTCCAGTGACCTGAGAAACACTGCTGGCTTCTCTAAGAGACATATAGAGCAAATGTCATATAGCAACAAAATTCCATCCGATAATTGATAAATGGTTCATATGAGAAATCTATACTACTTTGTTCCAAAAAAAAAGTTAACACCATAAAAAGTAAACAATTTGCATACTAAAGTGAATGTAGGCATCACAACATTATGATGTACAATAAGACATTTTTATTAATTTCCTATACATTTCTGCTATAGATACAATAGAAAATATAGAAAAAAAATATGTTCTCATAATAATAGAGAAGGGATGACGTTAAGATAGTCCTTAAACCTTGAGAATGATAATCACTGGAACTGAATGATTAGTTTTGTGTCATCAGTGTTTTGAATTGATAGTTTGTCTGTGTGGCCTGAAATGGGTTGTTATAGTATGTTTATTTTTTGAAAAAGAAATAAATAAAATAATAATAATAATTTTATGCATGAACTCGCACAACTCTGCTAAAGTTACATGTAAAGGGAAAAAACTCTGAAAGTAGAAATAGTGCTCTGAAAGTATTGAAAATATTTCCATAATTTATTGATATTCCTTTAAGAAAGTGCTTGACACAAACAAAATATCTGATATCAGTTTTTAATTCTTGTGTCTCTGCTTTAAATGTAGAGTAGTTGGACAGCAGTTTATTCTAAAATCTTGTTTTCCTAGTCCCGTGGTAACTGAAATCCTCACCTCTGACCCTGAGAAACGCAGACTCGCTGATATCAAAAGTTTTGAATGTTACACGGCTCTCTTGAGGAGCTAGTCGTTTTAAAATCAGACTGTACACTTTTCCAGAATTCTGGATTTTGTTGATGTGGTTGGTGTATAGGACTCGGTCATTGAGCAGCCACTGGACACTGGGTGACTCGTGATTCAGTTCACAGCTGAACACTGCAGTTCCATCCTCCTCGACCTCTACTTGCTCTAAGTGTCTTATGATCTTCAACCTTTTCACTGCAGGAAAAGAAAAATGATTTGTAATGTACTGTATGTGTCTTATCTGCGCTCTAAACATGCAATTCCAAGACAACTCCAGGACATGGATAGCTAAAAGCAGGTACCTTCCACACTGACTCTTCCTCTTGTCTCTGAGCCACCAGCCAGACAGCGATACTCTCCTGAATCTGCTGCTTTCACACCCATGATGGTCATCTCAACCCGGTTCTTTTCCCACTTCATTGTGTACTTATTGGAAGCAAACAGGGAGGTTCTACCCTTGAACCAGCGCACCATTCTGGGGGATGGACAGAACTCACAGCTGAGAGCAACTGACCCGTTCTCCTTCACCTCCACATCAGAAATGGGTTGTTTGACAATCAAAGGGCGCTCTATTAGGAAAAGCATAAGCAAGAATACATTTAAGGCACATGATTCACAATCCATTTAAACAAATGCTTTGCCCCAGGTTCTGATATTAAAATTCTGGATAATAATATACGCCAAAAATTATTTTTAATTATGTTATATCTGATTAACAATAAATAGTTAATGTTAAAATGAAATACTAGTTTAAAAAAAACACACACACAAAACTAAAATTAATCATGTAAAATGCTACAAGTGAATTTATGCATTATAATATTATCATGTACAGTATGAACAAATGACATTAATTTTGAGATCTGCTAATATTTAATTATTAAAGAGGGATGTTATTATTAACTAAATCTAAAAACCAAACTTTTTTGTTACTTGAAATAAAATTAACTTTAATTTAAATAAAATACATAATTTTTAAAAAAATCCTTAAGCTTATTTCAGCCAGTTACCAAAGCAACATTTCTTACAGTTCATATTGATGTACTAAAATAACTTAAACTGAAATAAAATTAATGAAAACTATATAAAAAATAAAAATGACACACAACACACAAAACTGCTAAAACTAAAATTAAAATGAAAATATAAAAATAAAAACGAATTCAAAAATATTAATAAAAAAACTAATAGTATCTCAATGATACTAAAATAACCGATTATTAGTGGTTTTAAAGTTTATTTGAGTGTTACATGACTGCAAGTTAATCTAAATGCCAAAATAGTAGAAATGACCATGCACAATTAAATAACTAATATGCTGATAGCAATTAAAGCCTGTAATATTGGCAACTAATATAATAATAATAATTTAATAATAATTTATGCATTTAGCAGACGCTTTTATCCAAAGCGACTTGCAGTGCATTCAGGCTATATATTTTTTACCAGTTTGTGGTATTAATAATATGGCACCAATTTGTTGTGTATCCCTACTCTGAATATGTGAGAAGATAATTACCTGTAACTGTGAGTTGAGCTTCTGACTTGCTCTTCCCCGAGGTGAACTGCACAGTGCCACACATACTACTGTCGGTTTGAGTCAATATGAGTCTGTTCGAGGTTCCTTGCCTCTCAATCCTGATTTCTGGACAGGGACATAGTATCTGCCCATTCAGGGTCCATTTCGGTGCCCTCTCTAACTTAATACTTGTTTCCACTTTAAAACGAGCCTCTTTAGGCTCCATGACCTCCACAGAACTGAGTCCTTTCAAAATGCTGATGGCCTGCTCTGTAAGAATGGATCCAATATTCACTGCATAAAAGTCTTAGCATTTCAAAAGGATAGACTAAGAATAATTCTGTTAAATCAATGCTTATATTAAAACTGGGTAGTAAATTGTACTTAAAATCTGATTGAATTTAACTTCTCACCCTCTACAAACAGTTGGCAGGAAGTCCTGTCATCGACAGCATCACAGATAAAGGTGTCTTCATCTGAGGATCCCACATCATCTATGATAAGTTGTCGGTACACGCCTTCACTGATAGTTTGGTACTTCCTATTTGGCACAATTTCATGATTTCTTCTGTACCATTTAACTGCAGCATTGGCACGAGAGACCTGGCACTCCAGCAAGGCACGATGTTTGTACATGGCAATCTTCACTCTCAGGGGCTTCACAATATGAACTGGAAGCTCTACAATGATCATCATTGTTAAATTTGAACAAAATTGGAAAAAAGGGATAAAATGTGATTTGCTCTTTTTTTTTTTTACCTTTGACTCCTAGTGTTGCTGTTGAAGAGACCCTCTCAGCAGTGAATCTGATCTCACCAGCATCTTCTGGTTTGACTGATTTGTAGGTTAGGGAGTGTATTTTACCTGTGTTTATGAGATTTGATTGAATTTGAAAGAGCTGAAGAAAATTAGAATCTAAAACAAAACGTGATCATATTCTGGGAAAGACTTTTTTGGTCATCCTCAAAAAGTTTCATATTGTTACTTTTTAAACAATATAACACCAATGACCAATTAAAATGAACTACATGGAAATACATTATGATAATGTAAAGGTAAATTAAAATCATGAAATTAAAATCAAAATGCATAGGTTTAAACAGCTTCTTTTTACTCTGAACTCAGAAGTATTTTTCCACAGCTTTTTGTATTTGCTGAATACAAAGTTTGTAACATTAAAAAACATTCAAGAAATCTAGGGCCAAAAGTTTTTTATTATCCGCTTTTTTCTTTCTTTTGTTTTTTGCAAGATTGTTATATACGTAAGTGTTACATTTTTTTTTTATCAACAAATATACTAGATGTAGGTGATCCAGGGTTTTAGGCACTGGACAAACTCAAATATATATTTTTATGTGCAATATAGCACGAAACTAAACTTTAGGGTAGATTATAGTATAATGCTTTTCATATTATGGAGTTTGAAGTCTTCAGTCTTTTTTCATGACTGAAAAAAAAAAGTTAGTTGCCATGTTTGTCACCATATTTTGCGAAGGACCCTTGAATGTACATAATAAGCCACCAGTCAGTGTGTTACTCAACCTCTCACACATACCCTCACATCTTATTTTAACATTGTCCCCAGCTCTCAACCGGCTGTCATCCTTGTACCACTTCCCATCCACATCTTCCCAGTTGACCTCACAGATAAATGTCACACTCTCCCTCTCGGTCACACTGACATTCTGAAGAGTCTTCACAATCTTTATATTCCTGGCTGAGAGAAAGTAGACATGACAGTAAAGAACTGCTACTGTATCACAGGCAACTCTAATAACTTTTAAACTGACAAAAGACTGTAAATTATCCAAAACTTCTGGGTTCTGAGACATCCCACCCATTATCCCACAAATAAATGACTTTATACTGCATTAAATACAGGTTGCATATTGATGGAATGGTACCTGTGACTGTCAGCATAGCAGAGCTTTCAATCCCTTCAGCCTTGAAACTGATGACACCCATGTCAGCAACCGTGACGCGCGTGAGTGTGAGTGTGTGTTTTTTGCCCTGCGTGGCAATTCGACACACAGGCCTGGATTTAAGTGGGACTCCATCCCTGCTCCATTGACCCTGGACGTACGCATGACTGAGGACCACATCAAATGTACAGGCTTCTTTCTCACACAGCGTCACATCTTCTAGCCCTTTTACCAATTGAATTCTATTCACTTCAGACAAAAATAGAACAATTATCAGTTTCTTTTTTGTAACAAAAACTGCCCTATACGAAGCCCGCAAAGTGACATTTGAGGGGAAGTTGTCGCATGCTCAAGTTTTCTAGCTTTTACTTGCGCGCGCGATACTGTTGCGTGAGACGTACTCGCGCCAAATTCTCCTATTGAATCGTGCGCATGCGAAATTACGAATGTCACTTCAGGGACTGCATATCTTCTTAACAGCAGCAATAGTGTAAAATAAAATATGATATAATAAAATTCAGAATGCTTAATTAATAAATGAGTCTTTGCAGTGCATTCAGGCTATATATTTTTTACCAGTTTGTGGTATTAATAATATGGCACCAATTTGTTGTGTATCCCTACTCTGAATATGTGAGAAGATAATTACCTGTAACTGTGAGTTGAGCTTCTGACTTGCTCTTCCCCGAGGTGAACTGCACAGTGCCACACATACTACTGTCGGTTTGAGTCAATATGAGTCTGTTCGAGGTTCCTTGCCTCTCAATCCTGATTTCTGGACAGGGACATAGTATCTGCCCATTCAGGGTCCATTTCGGTGCCCTCTCTAACTTAATACTTGTTTCCACTTTAAAACGAGCCTCTTTAGGCTCCATGACCTCCACAGAACTGAGTCCTTTCAAAATGCTGATGGCCTGCTCTGTAAGAATGGATCCAATATTCACTGCATAAAAGTCTTAGCATTTCAAAAGGATAGACTAAGAATAATTCTGTTAAATCAATGCTTATATTAAAACTGGGTAGTAAATTGTACTTAAAATCTGATTGAATTTAACTTCTCACCCTCTACAAACAGTTGGCAGGAAGTCCTGTCATCGACAGCATCACAGATAAAGGTGTCTTCATCTGAGGATCCCACATCATCTATGATAAGTTGTCGGTACACGCCTTCACTGATAGTTTGGTACTTCCTATTTGGCACAATTTCATGATTTCTTCTGTACCATTTAACTGCAGCATTGGCACGAGAGACCTGGCACTCCAGCAAGGCACGATGTTTGTACATGGCAATCTTCACTCTCAGGGGCTTCACAATATGAACTGGAAGCTCTACAATGATCATCATTGTTAAATTTGAACAAAATTGGAAAAAAGGGATAAAATGTGATTTGCTCTTTTTTTTTTTACCTTTGACTCCTAGTGTTGCTGTTGAAGAGACCCTCTCAGCAGTGAATCTGATCTCACCAGCATCTTCTGGTTTGACTGATTTGTAGGTTAGGGAGTGTATTTTACCTGTGTTTATGAGATTTGATTGAATTTGAAAGAGCTGAAGAAAATTAGAATCTAAAACAAAACGTGATCATATTCTGGGAAAGACTTTTTTGGTCATCCTCAAAAAGTTTCATATTGTTACTTTTTAAACAATATAACACCAATGACCAATTAAAATGAACTACATGGAAATACATTATGATAATGTAAAGGTAAATTAAAATCATGAAATTAAAATCAAAATGCATAGGTTTAAACAGCTTCTTTTTACTCTGAACTCAGAAGTATTTTTCCACAGCTTTTTGTATTTGCTGAATACAAAGTTTGTAACATTAAAAAACATTCAAGAAATCTAGGGCCAAAAGTTTTTTATTATCCGCTTTTTTCTTTCTTTTGTTTTTTGCAAGATTGTTATATACGTAAGTGTTAAATTTTTTTTTTATCAACAAATATACTAGATGTAGGTGATCCAGGGTTTTAGGCACTGGACAAACTCAAATATATATTTTTATGTGCAATATAGCACGAAACTAAACTTTAGGGTAGATTATAGTATAATGCTTTTCATATTATGGAGTTTGAAGTCTTCAGTCTTTTTTCATGACTGAAAAAAAAAAGTTAGTTGCCATGTTTGTCACCATATTTTGCGAAGGACCCTTGAATGTACATAATAAGCCACCAGTCAGTGTGTTACTCAACCTCTCACACATACCCTCACATCTTATTTTAACATTGTCCCCAGCTCTCAACCGGCTGTCATCCTTGTACCACTTCCCATCCACATCTTCCCAGTTGACCTCACAGATAAATGTCACACTCTCCCTCTCGGTCACACTGACATTCTGAAGAGTCTTCACAATCTTTATATTCCTGGCTGAGAGAAAGTAGACATGACAGTAAAGAACTGCTACTGTATCACAGGCAACTCTAATAACTTTTAAACTGACAAAAGACTGTAAATTATCCAAAACTTCTGGGTTCTGAGACATCCCACCCATTATCCCACAAATAAATGACTTTATACTGCATTAAATACAGGTTGCATATTGATGGAATGGTACCTGTGACTGTCAGCATAGCAGAGCTTTCAATCCCTTCAGCCTTGAAACTGATGACACCCATGTCAGCAACCGTGACGCGCGTGAGTGTGAGTGTGTGTTTTTTGCCCTGCGTGGCAATTCGACACACAGGCCTGGATTTAAGTGGGACTCCATCCCTGCTCCATTGACCCTGGACGTACGCATGACTGAGGACCACATCAAATGTACAGGCTTCTTTCTCACACAGCGTCACATCTTCTAGCCCTTTTACCAATTGAATTCTATTCACTTCAGACAAAAATAGAACAATTATCAGTTTCTTTTTTGTAACAAAAACTGCCCTATACGAAGCCCGCAAAGTGACATTTGAGGGGAAGTTGTCGCATGCTCAAGTTTTCTAGCTTTTACTTGCGCGCGCGATACTGTTGCGTGAGACGTACTCGCGCCAAATTCTCCTATTGAATCGTGCGCATGCGAAATTACGAATGTCACTTCAGGGACTGCATATCTTCTTAACAGCAGCAATAGTGTAAAATAAAATATGATATAATAAAATTCAGAATGCTTAATTAATAAATGAGTCTTACATGCCATGTTTAGGAACTTGTCTTCTCACAAGCCTTTAGGAACGGCCAGCAACTTCAACATTAGGCCTACTGCTCCAAGTTGAATTCTAAAAAGTGTAATCGTATACTCATCGACATTTTAAAATAAAAATAACCCTTTTGTGTATCACAGAAACAGATCTTATTGGTGAATACAACTTGTGGCTGCTCTTCTAATATGAAATATGATACTGACAGAAATAATACTCCCTACAGCTTACACTCCCTCTATGTAATTAGTTAATAATTTGGAATGCACCTATGTCTCTGCCACTCTAGCTGACTTTATGGTTGGTTCATTAATTTTTGTCCATATGTGCAGATACAACTGATGTTTGTCTGGGTCAAATAAAGAGACAAAGGCAGTAACTACACACTTCTTTCTCACATTACAAACAAACACTTCTCCCAGTTGTCCCATTGGTGTGTCACCAGCGTTCAATTAATAGTTGGTCTCAAGTGTATATAATACTTTGAAACATGACACCATCCTTGAGATTAAAACACAGAATAAGTTATGAATATTGTATTTTTTTTGTATTAATCAGACTACACAAAACAACTGGGAATGTAAATGGTCTCAAATTAATTTAAGTCTCAAATCTTCTTTGTGAATCATGCACCAGAACAACAACTTGAGATCAAGCGTGAGAAAAAAGTTCATACTGACCAGATTTTTAAGAAGGAACAAATGGATGATCTTCCGTTTTACTCACCATTAGCCAAATCTGACATTTTCCTCACATAAAAGTCCAAAAGAGACACTTCTTATCATGTTTTGAAGCTAGCAACAAAAATACCGAAAGACATCAAGGCCCACCCATAATTTTCTGTAGTTCACGTAAATTCCTCCAGTATTATCCCCAAAACTTTGACCAAAGATACCCAGGTCAGTCTGCTATCCCCTGTTTCCTTTGGCAAACAAGCAGCTGAAAGTGTTTTTCTTTTTTTTCAGCTTTCCCAAAGGCTAATACCGAACAGCTGACATATCTCCAACATAACTGTGCGTCATTATACATAAAGATAGAAACATCTTGGCTACATGGATCAAGTCCTGCCTGCTAGCATTGTTTTCGTTTCCTTTGGCAAACAAGCAGCTGAAAGTGTTTTTCTTTTTTTTTCAGCTTTCCCAAAGGCTAATACCGAACAGCTGACATATCTCCAACATAACTGTGCATCATTATACATAAAGATAGAAACATCTTGGCTACATGGATCAAGTCCTGCCTGCTAGCATTGTTTTCATCCACCGCAGATGACTGACCACCCACCTTTCTCAAAGGATGGTTTGGTTCATAACAGTTAGTCTATTTACTATATCTCATATCTGACTATACATCCCTTAACAAATGAACCCAAAGAAACTGATTCACAGGATTGATTCCCAAAGATTTAATTGATTAATGTTGTGTTGACCAAAAGCTATTCACAGTAGCACAGGTTCATTAATCATATTTCTCCGATAGTTGCCAAAATAACTAAGTTGGAAAGGTCAAAAAGATCCTAAATCCTTATTCTGAATGCCCATACTGCAGGACTAGACTAGCGTCTGATCAAGCTGTTATGCAAAATAAGCAGGATTCATTCTGACAACCGAAGCTGCAGTGTCTCTACATGTTTAATTGAAATTTTGAGAATTATTTTCCATTGTTTGTTCTGTTGGAACTTTGTTAGAGTTATCTAAAAAAAAAACTTTCATTAAAAAAAAAGAATGTAAAATGAGAAACTTTGAATTTAAAACATTTTTCATTTTACATTTAGTCATTTTGTCAAGTATAAATAGTTTATAAAATTTTAACATCACTGGCATAAGCTGCACCGATTTGTCATGGTTTGTCTTGATGCATAATGCTTACAGTTCAATGTGAAATGTGTCATTTCAATGTTAGCAGCGACATACACAATTAATTTGATTTGACAGTCTAGCTGAGCTAGACATAATAATTGGCTCAACCGATGGCATGAGTTTGGGGGCGGAACTACCTGTTTTTGCTAACTGAAAGGGAGCATGTTCAAAAACTGACATTATTTCTGTTTGGTGACTAAATACTGTAAATGCACTACTTCACCTTTACAACTCTTTAGTGCATTTAGTAAAGTCTGTCTGATGAGTTGCAAACATCCACCAAGCATGTGCAGAAGAAATCTCAACTCAAAGTGACATGGACGCAATATTACCGATGGCCCGAAGACACAATATAAATAGCAATTTGTTAAGGAACCAGGGCCATGTGAGGATGTGTTAGGTGAAATTAGAACTTGACGAAACAGCTGAACACTTCACCTAAGCTCACAGGTCCTTGTTTGGATCCCATCTCTGTGAGTTTCACATGTCCTTTGGTACTGTCTCTCTCTACCCTGCTGACAACAGATTTACCAAGTGCCATAAATCAACTCGAAGTCACCTTGTTGCTCACACTATTATATTGCATTGCACTCCATTATAATTGCTATAATTCTTATGATTATAATTCTCATTATAGTTCAACTTGAATCAATATAAATAGACTCAAACTATTTTATATACACATTGTCAGAATCATGCTTTAGAAATATATAAATAAACGTAAAGCAGTTTGGCTAAATTCACTCTATAGTACCCATGACACAGTTGGAATGTAAGTGTAATTATAGGGAGAGCAAAAAATGCATGTACTTCTGAACATCAATGATGTTGATGCTGTGCAGCTTATTATTATAAATTAGCACCAAAACCTTACTTTTAACTTTGTGAGCTCAGAGTGCACTGCACAAAAGTTCTACTTCTATAAAATATGCAGATCTACATGTTTACCAGGACTGAGTTGCACTGCTTTGAAAGAGTGGCTGTCCATTTGTTGATCTGAGATAATCCCTTAAACCCTAGACTGGGGGGCTGTCTCAGTTTCAGCCCAGACCAATCACAACTCCACATGTCTAACTGGGGCTGCAAAATCCCCTTCTCCCATTAGTTGTCCTTGATCTGAAGCACGTACTGTCTTTTCACCTCTATGTATGGACCCCAACAACCCACAGCAGACCCAGGAAGAATTCTTATACAGGGAAACTTATTAGCTTGACATTAATAAAAACACATTTTTAGTTCAGGTTCAGTTTAGTTTAGGATCAATAAGGGGTTATTATATAATGAAATTAATCCATTTAATTAGCAAGGATTAATTAAATTGATCAAAACTGACATTAAAGAATTGCTACAAAACAATAAATGCTGTTCTTTTGAACTTTCTATTCATTTAAAAATCCTGACAAAATATCATGTTTTCCACAAAAATATTAAATGGCACAACTGTGTTCAGTACTAATAATGATAGGAAATGTTTCTTGAGCACCAAATCAGCATATTAGAAAAAAAATTATTTCTGAAGGATTATGTAACACTGCACACTGAATTAATGGCTGCTGAAAATTCTGCTTTGTCATCCAAGAATAAATTACATTTTAAAATACATTAAAATAGAAATCAGTCATTTTAAAGTGTAAGAATATTTTACAATATTACTGTTTTCCTGTTCTTTTGATCAAACAAGTGCAGCCTTGGTGAGCATAAGAGACTACAAACTTTTGATCAGTAGTGTACAATGAACACTTTATATAAATCTGCTGGACGGATCTAATGAAGTGGTGAAACACCAAAGTAAGTGGCATGTAAATGTTTGTGTTTACCATAGACGTTTACATTACATTGGCCATTTTTAACCCACCACAATAAGAATTTTACTGGTTAAAATAATTGAATCTAAATTTAATCTGAGATTTTAGCAGCCATCATATCTCTGACTGTTATATCACTCAGATTAATGTATCTTCATTATTTTTGTCATACAGCACTTTGCATTTGAGGTGTAAGCATGTTAGTACTGACAGTGACACTTTCTTGTCAGTTGCAAAAATATTCAGGCTATGCCAGTTTATCGAGGGGAAGTACAGAGTGTTAGATACGATAAACCCTGTGATCATGTTTTTCACGCTGGGGTTTACACTCTTAAATGGACTAGGAGATATGCCTTTCCTCTTTAATGGAGATGGTATCTGTGTATTTATAGACCCACAAGCTCTTTTCCACCCCTCAATTTGGATTTTAATCTACAACTGAACAAAAAACATGCATACTGTCATAAGATAATGATGTCATAAGCTAATTGATACATTTATTGGTAAAGGCAGGGAAATGCGGTACTATGGTTGCTCATGTTAACACTTATATTGTTACTTTTTTCCTTTCTTCTTGCCACCTTTGCTCCCTGTTTTTGAGGACTCTTCATCACCCTCTTTCCCTGAGGCAGCTTTAATTCTCTTCTTTCCAAGGGGAGTCTTGGCATACCAGTTCTATGGAGAAAAAAAACTAAATTTATTCTATATATATATATATAGAGAGAGAGAGAGAGAGAGAGAGAGCACTAGAAATTATTGTCAAGTTAGCTTTTAAATTAAATGTGCAATGCAATGAAAAGCCATGGTATCAGATATTTGAGAGATTTTACTTACTTTTAATGCCTCTTCTTCCTCCTGAAACACAGGGTCGATTCTTGCAAGTGGAGACACAAACTCTGAGGCTGTTAGTGGACGTTTAGGAAATTGCTGAATGCGCCGTTCGGTCAAGATGCTACGCACCACCTGCACCATGTGACCTTGTGTGTAGCCATCAGAGATCTTTGCCAGAGAGCTGAGGTCCAGGGCACTGGTTACTTCTCCTCCATTCTTTTTTATCAGCTCTTTCCACATTACTGTGACAATATGCATGATTGGAAACACTGTGATTTTGCTTATTTTTTTTTAAATATAATATACACTATTTTAGGCTCAGTACGTTTTTTTTTTTTAATAAAAACGATAATTTAAATTGTAATTATGATTAAAAAATATTACAGATTTTTTTTTTATCAAATAAATGCAGCCTTGGTAAGCACTTAGCTTACCATATCTTGATGCATAGTCTGGCCGAGGTATGAGGATGATCTTATTGTAGAATTTGCACAAGGATTTCAGGTCTGCACTGTGTGGATCACTTGTCGTTCCTACTATTAAAACACAATCTTCTCCTTTGATGGACTTAAGGATCTTGGGTAAATCTTTCTTCAGACGTTTCGGATCTAACTGTGTACCAGAATGAAAACCAAGGAAATAGCTCATTACATGTCATTTCACCACTAGACAGATCACAAGTGGGTTACACTTTTTACCTCCTTCTCCTCTTTTGGTACTTTTTTGTAAAACATCTTTTCAGTTTCTCCAATCCATATTACAGAAGGCTGCATCAGTTTGGCAACCTGAACAGAATACAGAGTACAAAATACATCAAAATACCAACAATTAGCAGGCCAGTATCACAGATTTAGGCCAATTTCACATTAAACTTTACCTTAAACACCACATGCAGCATCATCTGCAATCCACTCTTGCCAGGGTATTTTCCAGCCACGTTTAAAGGTGAAAGGTCAAACAGATTGGCTCCAGTCTCCTGGCAGATGGCATGGACCAACATTTTCTTACCCACCCCTGACGGACCTACTAGCAGCATGGTCTTCACCAGGGGAGCCTTCTCATGCACTGCTTGGGAACCTATAGGACAAAGAAAATGTTTTATTCGATCCATTTAGCTGGCCAGCTTGACAACATATGAAAAAGTTGGCATTTCAAAGGTAAAAATAAGAAAATCCTGAGCGATTAATTTACTCACCTAATGGTAAGACAGCATAGAGTGCTACAACTTGCCGAACATCGGATAAGGACGGCATAGGCTCAATGTCAGTCTGTCGTAGAGTTGTGCCGAG